CTTGGCTGCTTGGATTGCTTTCCAATCGTTCGTGAAATAACTCTTATAAATAGCCAAATTGCTGCGATCAGCTGATATGATTTTGTGATTTCGATTCTATTAGCCTGACCATTAGCCTGGCTAAATCAAAACCAAATGTCGCGTCGTAAAATGTATCAAAGCATACATTGTAAATGCAAAACAAACTGACTATCTGGGAGGGGGTGGGTGTGTTTATACGAAGGTGTGGGGTAGCACCCGGAAACAGTGGGCCACTGAAATCGAAGCCGATCAATAAATTGGCTATCGGGCAGCTGGTCGGCGGCATAATAAACCAATTGTCAAACTGTCAAATTCCAAGCACTTTTTTCTGCACTCGCATAAATAAAATACTTTGGCGCACAAGCAATTCCCGCGTTTAGTATGCCCGACACCTCTGTCGCCGCATATTTGTCTCTTGTTTTCCTTTAATTGTTAATATAATAATTCGCTTTCAATGTCAGACGGCCGAACAAAAAGTATTTAAATTGCACAAAACAAAACACAGACGCCCTGCACTTGATGCCCGACAAGTGGAGTGTAATTGAAACGAATCGACAATTTGAGATATTAAACACAAATATGCCAAAAAAGAAAACGTGACCTCCGCTCCTCTGGGGGATCGTGTTCTTGTCTTGTTTGTGGCTGCCGCCGTTCCAGAAATTGTCCCAATTGATAAATGAAATTAATTCAATTCGGTTTGTGGTCACACTTCCACTGGCTCCATTTCGTCATTACTTAACCAACATTCCACCAAAAATGTAATTGATGCGAATATTGCGTGCCAAATGGGTGGACCTTGACCTTGAAGACACATATCTCAGTTCGATTTATTTGGAAAAATATTTCGCATGCCTAGACGAAATTTCTCTGAATTTCTAGCTGGGAAATACCTTCATTCTGCACTGCATTTCGCTGGAATAATGCCGAAATATTCACACCTCCGATCGGATCAAGGTTGCAGTTTCAACTGGTGACCCCGAACATCAAGGAGAGAGCCAAAATTCCTTCTGCCGTTCGTATACTTCATTAATTGCTTGATCAACAAGTTCAACATTCCCATTCCCGTTCGCAATTGCACATAAACAAAGACAGCCCGTTAAAGAATTGAGCAAATAAATACACTTTTTAATGATCAGTAAATTGATTATGGATGGCTGAAAACGCCTTGGCAACCCTCAATGGATTCTGGCAAATATTTATGCATTCTTTGGTATATTTGGCTTGCAATTCATTCCATTCGGAAACGATTAACCACAGTTATTAATTTCTGGAAATAGCCACATTCCCAGCCCCAAAGAAATTTTTGTAAGCAAATATTTATAAAGCCGAAATTCAGTGACAGGGAGAGCTGATTAAAATTCCGTTCGCCAGCTCCTAGACAATAATAAGCCATTCATGGAGGAATCTCTCGATTTATGGCCAAAGTTTCCACACTTTTATGTCGCCAACCCAGCCCAGTTATCAGTTGGCGCTATGACGAAATACTATGAATCTGTCCCCAAAATTGAACAATGTAAATCGAATCGATAACATCCGCGATAAGGAAGTTACATGTCAGGTAGGATTGGCATTGGATTGGCCCGTTCTTGAACTAGTTTCGGGTATCGAGAATATTTGTCTTCCGCCTGCTCCGACTTCAGGTACTTCTGACCAAGCAATTCAATCCCTCATTATGACTTCAATGCTTTGGAATGCCAGCAATCTATACGGGCCCCATTGCGTATGGCCAGAATACCAATAAATACCTATTGGACCGCTTAGGCACACAAATAATGCTAATCAGGGGCCAATTAAATAATGGCATAATTATGTATGTATTAAAACCCGCTAATTGATTGACCAGTTCAAGTCAGGCATTCGCGATGATAAGGCAGCGAGTCGAATGGACGTGTGTTTCATTCACCCGACGACACTTTAATGACTTCATTTATCCGGCAGATTGTCATCAGTTCCTCACGTTGATAGTTCGCTTTAATTGCATTCCAAATGCTATAAATTTTGTCGTGCCGGCAGCAGTTAGCTTCGGGTATTACTCAAATTTGATGCAAATATTTATGGATTACTCACCCCTTTTCAATGGCAGGGTAATCACTGCACTTGCAATTAGTTAAGCTAACGAAACTGTCTTATCTGGCTCAATACGCATCCCATGACATTCCGTGTCTGCCTAATCTTATCCACGACCTGCCAGCTTGTGGAGATTAGTGGTAAATGTAACCGGCGAAAGGAAATTTACTCAGCCCGCGATTTGATTTGGCCATTAGGCGACACATTCGCCACGGTCTCCATCAATCTCTTTGGCGGGCTTTTGTCCGATTTCGACCGCAGATCGTAATTTGGCCCGCAGCGGACAGAAATCGCTCATAAAACTGAAGTTTAATGTCATGCAAATCGCGTCGGGCGACAGAGCGACTTAATGTCGTCTGATGGCTTTATTTCACACAACGAGCTCTGATTTGTTCGCTATTCGCCGGCGGAGACATGCTTTTTAATTAGCTTTCCTAATGATTTTGGCTTATTTATTCCCGTTTTTAGAGAGGTTATTGTTATTTATGATTCATTCAATAAAATTCCTAGAAATAAGAGGTTATAAAAAAGGAAAATGCTTACACCATGAATGGTGAATCAAACTTTACTTCCGGTTACTGCTTGGCATTCCAATCGCATATTTCAGATTAGTACGAACTCATCGATAAGCAAACAAAGGTTGACCACATAGTTTGTTTGGGTTTTGACTAATGGGGAATTGGATCATCCCTCACGATGACGATGACCAGTTAACTGAGATGATGCGGTCTATAAGCTATTGCAAGTGCTCTTAATGATTATTGCTCATATGCAAAGAGCAGAAGCTTCAGATCGAAGCTAAGTGAAATGGCAGACAGATTGGCGATGATCGCATCCCCAAAACAACAGAAAGATAAAGTACTATATTCTGTGGAATCTCTACTGATTGAAATATGATCGATAGTATTCAAATTTCGCACTGCGTTGGCATAGAAGACGTACCTTAATTTAATTTGATTTGATTCTTGGCTGAAGGCCTTGAACTCAAATTGGGTTCAGCAAGCACATATATATCTTATCAATATATAGATAAGAGAAATAAAAACAAACTCAAAAACTAAAATATACTGCGCACAAACATTCGCCGAGGAATTTGCCCATGAAAGTGGTTCCTAATGATCTTTGACCTAATAGCTGGGCAGCATACCAAACCATCTGCCCACATACTTTCCCACAGCTTTTCCACTGTTTGTCTCTGCTTTCATTACACCGCCTTTTGCGCTTTTGCCAAATTCGGCCAAACATTTTGCCCCCCAAAATACCTTGGGATGCGCTCTGTTAACCCATCAGCCACAGATGACGTATACGCCCCACTGGCAGTAACAGCAGGACGGCTCTCGCGCTCTCCCTTTCTCTCTGTCGACCACCTACGCTATATGGGCTATATGCTATAGCAACCGAGATCGGGCGGCAGAGCAGCGCTGCCAGCAGCAACAATAACAGAAGCAGCCGTAGCAGCAGCAGCAACCTTATGTGGTGGCCCATAATTCTAACTGAATTCAGTCAGCAACCAGCCGCGATCGGAGTAGGAACATTGCGCGATAAGGAAACCGTATATAGCATATATCGCTAGCCCTACAATAAACACAATTATTGCAGAACATTAAGTGCGGGAATTGTGCAAACTTTTCAAAATGTTAGTATTGCGTACGGTTACTGGCCAAGTAAAGTAGAGAGTTTCGATGGCTTCTTGTTTACCAGACTGCTGTGTCAGCTAAGACGCGATTGTTTGGAGTTCAATTTAATGCCATGGTATTTAGAATATCTGCGGCTCCATCAGGAAAAAAAATATCGCTGTGTTGTGTTAGAGCAGTCAAAAAGTGTCAACAATCTTGGCCCATCTGAGATGAAGTTTATAATCCCGGTTGTTTACTGGCCTTCTAATTATAGACTTCTTCGTCACGGCTCCAACTACAATTCAATTTTATTTCATTTTTTGCTTCTCATAGATGCCAAAACTTTATTGCCAATTGGCTGGGCAATTAATTATCAACACGAACTTTCAAATTAATTATCACTAAATTAAAAACGGGTTCAGCATTAGCGAACAATCGACAAAATAAATTCGAATAATAAACCGTGGGGTGGGGAGAATGTTTGAACACCTTCGAGACTTTTGTTTGGCCACAACCACTCGTGATTCAGAAGATATCTAAATTTATAAGTGTGCGATGTCTTCTAATTGAATACATATTGTTATTGTGTTATTGTGGCACCACGGCACCCTCGGCGAAAATGCTGACCGTTCTGTTTTGAGCCAGCAGGCGAAACAGGAAAATCTATTTGCAATTTGCATTTATTTATCAAACTTGGGCTCCGCGTCGTGTTCTCGGAGATAAACAAGTTTAATCTTCGTCTCCGTCTCCAGAATTATCAGCCAAAAAGAAATATATTAAGACTACCAAAACAACATCAAATGAAGGGGCGCTTCCGAGAGTCATTCTTTGGATTTTTCGATTGGTGTGCTCAAAATTTGAATTCGTTGCCGAATCAAAGAACCCAAAACGGACCGAGAAAAAAGTGGGGGAAAAGAAACTTTTTTGTTTAAACCGCGGGCAGGGTTCGTGGATTGGCAAACCAGCTGGCGTCATCAGAATATATATAGCGGAGCTAACTGTTAACGGGTTGCCTGTTTGTCTGTGCACGACCAGCGAATTTCTGATGAGGAGCTGCCCCTATCCGAAAGATATACTAATTAATTATCCCACCCAGACCGAACGGGTTTCTTATCCCCTCACTAAGTATTCGACTGCGATGCACAGGTCGTATGCGCGATGCTAGGAATTTCGTGTATTTGTCTTGTTAATTGTTGACAAATTGCAGATCTCTTATCTGGCTTTTGTTTTAAGCGATTAAATAATATCCGAGAGATATGTGCAAAATTTAAAATTCCGTACTTTCTTTCGATTTAGTTGCAGATTGGATTTTGTTTAAGGAGCCATGACCATCAAGTGCGCCCACCTGGTGGGCCTTTTTGCCCTGCTAATGGGCGTGGCCAGCGCCTTTGATCACACTCTGAAGCGGGACTTTCCGGGCCCGTACTGCGAGCTGCGCAACACCTGCTGCAAGGATCGGCACGACGGCTGCTCGCTGCCCATTTCCAGTAAGAAAAGATTTTCGTTTGTGATTTTTGTTAAATTAACTTTATTATTAAGGAGGATTTTAAAGTTGTTTAACTTGTCGCTAAGAGGGTGTTGGGCTCTACTTAGTAATTTATTTATTAAAATGCAACAAAAAGTATTTTCAAGTAATTAAAAAGGTTATATAATATATTTCAAATAACTGGTTGTCTTAAATAACAGTTCTAAAGGGCCCTAAAATAAACAAAGTTTATTGGCCACTAGACAACTGACTTTGTAGTAATTAGTTTATGATTGTAAAACACTTTCTAAGGGGGCTTAAAGTTAAGAGCAAACATAAATTTCCCATCTGTGAGTTTAATTATTACTCCTTCTTGCAGCCACTCTCTGCTACTGCGATGAATTCTGCGATCGCGACGATTCCAGTGACTGTTGTCCCGACTACCGCTCCTTCTGCCTAAGTGAGCCAGATCCAGTGATCTCCTGCGAGCACAACGGCGTCTACTTCAGCAAATTCAACAGCACGTGGGACAACTGCAACGAGTGCCGCTGCCTGGAAGGCGGAAAAGTGAAGTGCGACGAGGATCTGTGCCTGACCGACGATGCTATCATCAATGGCGTCAACTCCATCCATAGACTCGGGTGGTCTGCCCGCAAGTATGACCAGTGGTGGGGACGCAAGTACTCCGAAGGTCTGAAACTGCGACTGGGCACCAAGGAGCCCACATACCGCGTGAAGGCGATGACTCGTTTGAAGAATCCCACCGACGGCCTGCCTAGATCCTTCAACGCTTTAGACAAGTGGTCCAGTTTTATTTCGGAGGTTCCCGATCAGGGCTGGTGTGGTGCATCCTGGGTGCTGTCTACTACCTCGGTGGCCAGCGATCGCTTCGCCATTCAGAGCAAGGGCAGGGAGGCTGTCCAACTGTCCGCCCAGCAAATCCTCTCCTGCACTCGCCGCCAGCAGGGCTGCGAGGGCGGTCACTTGGACGCCGCCTGGCGCTTCCTGCACAAGAAGGGCGTGGTCGACGAGAGCTGCTACCCGTACACCCAGCACCGCGACACCTGCAAGATCCGCCACAACAGCCGCTCTCTGAGGGCCAACGGATGCCGTCCTGTGGAAGACGTCGATCGGGACACCTTCTACACTGTCGGACCGGCCTACAGTTTGAGCCGCGAGGCCGATATCATGGCGGAGATCTATCGCTCCGGCCCCGTGCAGGCCACCATGCGTGTTAACAGGGACTTCTTTGCCTACTCGGGAGGCATCTACCGCCAGACTGCGGCCAACCGTAAAGCTCCCACTGGATTCCACTCGGTCAAGTTGGTTGGCTGGGGTGAGGAGCACAATGGTGATAAGTACTGGGTGAGTATTAGAAGATATGGTACTTAGCTATCAAGAACCGAAATTCATTGACGCTCTTTTATCCTTCAAACAGATCGCGGCCAACTCTTGGGGTCGTTGGTGGGGTGAGCACGGTTACTTCCGCATCCTGCGAGGCTCCAACGAGTGCGGCATTGAGGAGTACGTGCTGGCATCCTGGCCCTTCGTCTACAACTATTACAACGTGAAGTCGGCTTAATGAGGCTCAGAGGGCCTACTCCTCGCACCGAGCAATCTCGAGCTATGCAGAAACGAAAACAAATTTATCTCATGCTTCAAAATTTTCCATTTACTATATGGCACTCAAAGTGAATTAGGCGCTTCTATCTGTAATGTTTATGCTTAGAACCTAGTAACTAAAACGATTAGCTTTAAGTTGCGCGAACGCATCAAGTTAACTGCCCGCGGTACCCAACCTTTTCCCTACTACTTTTCTCACCCACACTAACTGGTCTCGAAGAAACACGAAACTGCCACTTAACCACCGCTCCATCCCCCGGATACTGCCACAACAACCAGAGGAACCAGAGGAATACCAACATCTAACACCCTTGTAGCGCATGTGATTGATGGAAGGACGAATATTGGATCGGCGAGAGTCTGTAGGATATGTACGAGTGCGAACTCATCGTGTATTGTAAATGGAAGCTAAGTTAACTGATTGATAGACCGATGAAACTTAGTCGGTTTATATATTTTTAATAAACGAATTACTTTACATGTTTATCGATGACGAATTTTGATTCACTTTAGTCCAGGCCACACATCCAGGCAAATTGTTTGCGAAAACAATTTGGTCTTAACTTTATTTTTAATACATATTTATACGTAGCGCGTGGCGATTCATAAATCAATTCGATAATGGTATGTAAGATTGTATAATTTTTGTTTAACAATATTTTCACATAATCTTTTAGGATAGGGTAGGGGATTAAATAGAGTAGTAAAGTAAAAATCCTCTGGGGTTATTTATGCATAGCTAATAGACTAAATAAATCGGGAAAATAATGGAGAATGTTTTTACTTTGCACTTACGAATACGATCGAAATCAAATTGACAAAACAAATGTTGGTCTAAGGCCCACAACTTTCCCAACTATGGAATTTCATTTCTCGCACAAGCAATTTTGATACTCTCGCAGAGGTTCTGAATGGTCTACAAGCTGATTACTAGCAGTATAAAAACGGGCCTGGTCGAATGATCTGCAGGCTTTCAGCTCTGGGTTGCTTGCTAGGGATGTCCGATGTGGGTGGGCTGGGCTAATTGAGGGTGATGCCAGCAAAGGAGACCTCCAACGCCGAATCAGTGGACTCCATGCGACTGCGTATGTGCGCCAGCGTGTTCTTATAATGACTCTCGATCTGTTTCGTCTCCTCGCTGGGTTCCAGATTAGGTAGTTCCTCGTTGACCTTGGCAATCAGCTGAAAATATAAATTTCGTTTCAGTTCAAGAGTGTAAAAAATTTTTAGTAAGCGAAAGTCACCTGGTTAAGCATGGCCACGGTAATGAGGGAGTTTCCACGCTCGAAGTAGAATAAATAGTGATTCAGTAGCTCTACATACAGTTGCACCTGAACGCCGGTATCCAAGCATTGCGAGGCAATGCGAGCGCCCTTCTTCAAGCAGTCCAAGGTCCGCTTCTCATCCCGCATCTCTTCGCCGTTTTGCCTGGTAGGAAATTAAGATATTTTAATAATAATTCAATCAAAGCAATCTATCAAACTTACTTTCCACTCCAAAAGAGAGCGGCACAAGCCACAACTCCGCGGCATTGATCAGGTTTTTTCAGCAACTTGGAGGCGGCAAGCGCACAATTCGTTCTCAGTGGCTCAGCGTTCTCCTCGCCAAAGCAGGACATCTGTTCGAAGGTGGACATAATAAGTGTTATAGCTGCAAGCTGGGCCTTAGAGTCGGAAATCTCATCTTCGTAAAGTGAAAAGGCCTGGGTCATAAATTCATATGCAACAGTTTCGTGGTTTGTATAGCCGATCTCCCCGATAACCAGGGCACCTTGCAGATAAAGACGCAGAGCCAGATCGGCAAGATCAGCCTTGGCCAGCGCACTGATGGTGCTGTGGCAGTACTGTACGATCTTCTGGCACTTTTTGTCCCAGTTCTCATCCTGCTCGGCGATCGCTTTATATTTGAAAGCCAATTGGTACGCGGCGAACACGAGTGGAGGTAGGACATGTTTAAGTCGTTGTCCTCCACCATTTCCTAGATGCTTGCGGGCGGTCTGCAGCATTTTGTATTGCATGTCAGGTTCGTCAGAGCGCATAAGGTGAATGAATCTAAGCAATGAGAAGTTAGTTATACAGATCGTACAAAAACCCAAAGGCACTTACCGTGCCACAACTCCTTGTTCCTCTGCAAACTCCTCGGCATCTAGACTTGTGTTTCCTGCTGCTGCTGTGTTGTCTTTGTTCGTATCATCGTCCTTTATCAACGGCGTGATAATGGTCAGCAGACTATCTGCCTGATCAGCCATGGGAACCACCGTCTCGTTGTCCAAAATATTCATAACTAGGTAAAGTGCCAGCGATTTACGGGAGGTGTAATCAAACTTTTCGAGCAGCGGGCAGAAGTTGTGCAGTTGGATGATGGTCAAGGCGTTGTTGTAGAAGTCGATACAGATGCGCAGGAGGCGGGATAGCTCCTGGTTTACGGACAACAGATGGGAGATGCTGCAAAGAAAGGACACTTAGCAATCATATTAGTCTGATAAAATGTTTTACCAACTTGTTCATGTTCATACGCTGCAGAATTTGTGCAGTTGTGCCCAGCACTTTGTCCACATAGTCAACGCGATCGGGGTACACCTTCTGAGCTAGACTTAGCAAAGCAACCTGCAGCGATATGGTGTCCTCCAAGGGCATGTCCATTCGGGTCTGCACAATATTGGCAACTTGGACACTGAATACTTCAAACAGCTCCACCTCGGCAGGTATAATGGCATCAATAGCATTGCCACTAGTCTAAAAGATATATGTTTTAGTTATAGGGTAAGTATAAGAAATCACGTAAAGTATTACCTTGCCACTTCGCTGGTTGTAGGCAGCCAGCCGCTCGATCAGCGATATAATGATATTCTTCACGTTCACGCCGGTCTCCAACTGGGCACAAGACTTTAGGAAGGGATCGAGTGTCTGCAGGTGGAACTCGTCGGGGAAAACCTGAATGATGCACTCCATAAGGTACTCCTGAGCAATGGCGTCCCGACAACTGACCACCTGCTCCAGAATGCCCGGCAAAATGAGTCTCTGGTAGGTCTCCAAAGTAGCCGACTCCAGCTGCGACAGTCGTACGAGGTTAGTGCCCACCAGGATCTTTAGTTCCTCGCGCTCCTTCTCTCGTCGAGTCTTCTCGCTGGAGTGACCCTGATGCTGCATGCGGACCCACAACTTGTTCATCTCGGCAAAGTTGGTCAGAACAAAGTCAATAGCATCGTACACATTGCCCTCGTGCTCGTTCTCCGCCACCATCACGTCGGGCAGGATGTTACGAGTGCATTGCAGCAGATAGTTGCGCAGGAAAAGACCTCTCAGTGGATGCTGTACACCGCGGCACATCTCCACCAGGTCCTTGAGAATACTGCGCTTTAGGGTGGAGTCGTTCTTAATGTAGACAATGCCCACGGTTATAAGGAGATATAACCGTGGAACAATGGTGTGCGAGTACTGGACCAGTTCGTACAGATCTGTCTTCTTGTCGCTCTTCTCGCTGAGGTACAGCTCAAGGTGGCACAGTTCATTGGTGACAGCCATGTCTGGAGTTAGAATGCCATTAGGCCTGGGTATCATAGACACTTTCTTTTTGATTACTCACACAACTCATAGTAGCTCTTGGGGGAGAGCAGCGAGGTTCTCAGCTCACTCAACATGGTGCTGGCGCACTTGAGTGAGTCCAGCATGCGTTCTTTGTCCAGGAAGTGGTTCATCTGAAAGGCCTGCTTTCTCGCCGCCCCAATGGCCTCGGCGAGTAGCTTCTCCTGGTCATCCAAACCATTCGGCATGGTCTGAAAGGAGATATTGCATACGACATCACTGGCTGAATGAAACATTAATCGATTTGGAGCACAAACAAAGCACACTGCTCGAGATAAGCCTGCTTGGCTTATGCTTGAAGCAAGTCCAGATGCAGTGCCGGAGGATTATTCGAGTTTAAGATAAGAGAGATAGATTACACGTATCCGAGACCCGCAATTTAGGCCTATTGGAGTATTTACCCGGGCGTTGGCGGCAATGGGCACTTGGCCGCCGTATGAGGACGAGCTCCACGGGTACATGGTTGTCGTTTTTGGACCGGGGGCGTTTCTTCTCACCACGGGCAGCCCCTTTTGACGTCGAAAGGGGCGCAGTCAGCGGCTTATACTCGGGACAGTAGGTTATCTGCCAAATAGCACAGCCAATTCCCAAATCCCGGCTTCTGGCGACTACAAGGTGGACTTGGACGCACTTACCATTACTTCAGCGTAGGGGCGGATCGAAATTAGCCAATTATTCTCAAAATATATGAATTTTCGGCGATGTGCATCTGTGTAATAGAACTGGTTAACCACTCACGGTAATACCGATATTAATATACTATAAAGGTTTCGATAGTGAGCGATAGGTCTTATACGGAGCCTAGTATTTTTATTGACGCCAATCCAGAACAAAACAATAGCTCGATTGTATTAACTCAATTTTTCAACCTTGCTTAATGAACAGTAGTTTATAGATTTTTCTTTTTTTCCTATATACACAGTATCACTAACAGTAGTGTTAAAATTCAATGTGTATAAGAGTGGAAAAACAGTAAATACTTATCGATACTTCGGCTGTTATCAGAGCGCCACTATTTGACTTTTACTTTATTTTCAGATGGCTCATTTGCATTTTTAATATATGAATGCTTTTGTATTTAAATTTCGACTATGAATAAGTATTGTGGATGGATCTTTTTCACTCTGCAATTTTAAGCTGCATGTTTGTATATTGTGGTTGAATTTGGAAAGAGAACTTTAAATCGAGTCTACTACAGTTTAGTTAATATAAATTAATATGTTAACTAATTTGTATCATATTTTTATTTTTTTATTAGTAAGTAACCGCTTTTCGGTATATATTTGATCCATTTTATATATATTTTTTTTATCTCCCATATATATTTATGACTAAATTTTTTTCTATGACCCTCCATATAAAATAATAATCATTTTGCAAAAAATAAAATAAATTGCCAATTAACAATCTGGCTATAGAATTTGCAATGAATGAAGAAAACTCCTTTTGGACTTTAAGTGCGTCTCTAAAATTGTTTTTATGTGTGTATATATAATCAATCAAAGGTGAGTTTATCGAAGGTTCAAACCATTGTACATAGTTTTGCTGGGAAGAGCCTGTAACATTTAACAGAACTGTTAATTCAAATATTCCGCTTCAAATTGGTGAATGAATACATTGGTACTTATAAGATTTGTAATTTACATATTTACAAGAGAAGTTACAATAGCTGTGGTGAAGTTAAAATTGCTGAAGTTAGGAAACTTCGTAGGCCATGTAATTGAATTAATAACGTGGCACATCAAATTGCTCTAAAAGTTAAATATCTTTTGGAAGTTTTTTTTTTCAAATATAACCCAAACAGCAATAATTACCAATTAGCTATTACAAAATATTAATTTATGAAACACCCCTAAATGAAACACATATTATGAAATGGTTAAATTGAACTTTTCACATTTAATATACACTCATTAGACATATATTATCGGAGCGAGAAAATCGAAACATGCATTCATTGATTACTTTTCACCACTTAGCCACTGCTTACACTCATGGCTGACTCTGACTTCCGCTCTCCCTATATAAAGTGTTGTACAATCTGTGCAAATCGCGTGTGGCCTAAGTCTATCACTGACCTACATAGTGTTCGGCTCGAATTCATTCATTGATGTTGAGCGGGAATAAAACACTGAATTCTGGACAAAAATGCGATTACAGCTATAAGTATATTTTAACTATCTGGTATAGATTGGTTATATTACACATATGTAAGGATGCACGTATTTTATAGGGTTTCCTTCAATGTTCCAACTACTCGGATACCTTGATATTGGCCAGAACTTCACTCCGTTAAATTCCATTGTGCTGCAATTGTTGGTGATTATAATACTTAATGGACATCTATAATACATTCAATGGACATCTAGATTAGTACTGCCCGCAGGCGAATGGAATGGGTGTGTGTGTGTGTGGTTTGCCCTAAGCTATTACTAGTGTTGACATTCATAGTTAAAAATCTCAAAACTCTCAATCCGACCTCAATATTTGATAGAGCAGGTCGCAGCACACACAGCAACAAAATGGTTTTGCTTTTGCTCTCGATTTCGTGGACCTTGTGTAAAATCACATATTGAATTAATGTAAAACTACGCTGACATGAACCTAAAAATAGCCCTTTGCGTATATCTAGTGTTTCTTGTTGCTGTTTCTGTTATCTTTGATTAATTTTGAAATGGTCCCGACTAACATGAGAAACCTAGGGCGTGCCGGCTGTTAGTGCACGATGGGCTCCTTACAAAAAAAAATAGTTAATAACAATTATGGCAAAAATCCTAGGACTAATTAAGCAAAATCGCACAATGTGGTTAATATATATGTATATATAGTTTCTGGTTCTCTTTCGGTCAATCAAATTCTGAGCATTTAAGCCAATTAACATTCATGTGGGTATGCATGTAATTTTAAAATGCAATCCAATGCCATTACAAATGTATAACTACACGTATATAATTAACAATAAGTTTCATCTGGCGGTCGAGCGCCAAAACTTCAAAAAATCAGTACAATTGGTATCATTAACTTTGTCTATGAACAAGGGTAAAATATTTTTACTTTTCTTTCAAAAATTATTGCTTTTTTAATTTGGTTTCTTTGTATTTTCTAAATTCCTTTAATCGAAAATATATCAAATTTATTCCAGTCGCAACTAGGTCCGTGTGTAATGAAAATTATCCCAACTCATGCTTACAGGAAAACAGGAAAACCATAAGGAACCAATTAGAAATAATAGCTTTATATTTAGACAAAATATATACAATGATTAATAAGGGGAAGTGACTAGCGTAAATTAAAGCTAAAATTATACACAATATGTACAGTTGGGAATAATACCCCCGGTAGTTGTCGAGTCTGTTGCCTTTAACTTAGTTAATAGTTATGCCTAGGATCTTGCATACTCTATAGGAAAATTTTGGGATACACTTTGGATTATTTCTTTGCTTAGAGTACATGCAGATTCTCGCAGCTCTTGGACTTGGAGTCCCGCGTCCAGACACGGCCCAAAAGTCCCTTGACTTTCAGGCTGGTCGAGGTCCTTGAACCACGGTATTTGCGGGGACTGCAAAAGAGAAGGGTAAATGAGCTTGGCATTACGGGCTGATTTTGATAGCCTGTCAGGGGCGTGACTCACCTGCTTTGGGCACTGCCAGGGGGCGTGGACACTGTCTCTCCTAGCGGACCCAGCGGGGTATTGGCATTCAGGCATCCTGCATTCAGCGGGGAGCAGGCGCGTCTCTTTGACTTTCTTATCGAACGCTTACGGAAAAGATCCCTGCCAAAGTTATAGCCAAAAGTTAGTTAAGTTAAGATTTGAGGGTACTATCAACCCACCTGGACTTCTCGGGATTCTCCAGCTTAAGGCGTATCTGTGACAACAGACCCACCAGCAGCTCGTCCACGTTGTGATTAATGCCCACCGAGGTCTCGATGAATTTACAATCGTAGGCGGTCGCCATGGCCTTGCCCTCTGCAATGGGAGAAGCGAGTGAGAGGTTAAGTGAAAATGTGTGGAAATTATGGCCAAAAGCATCAGAGTCAAGCTTAGTTGGCCACCCGTCACCCCAGTTAATCAAATCAAATGGCCTCGCTTAGTTAACTCTGAGTTGGCCATAAAACCTCAACTTGGACTCGGATTTGTATCTAAACACGTTGGCGATTTGACGATGCAGGGCATCCCCATCCCTATCCCCAACCTTCACCTTCCCATCCCTTCCCATTCGTCACGTCTTGTCCACAGTTGTGTACACAACTCGTAAAATCTGGAGCATCAAAGTTCGCAGTAAGCGGAGGTACATCATGCGTGTGACCCTCCTGGTGCAAATTTTATGACAGGCTCACATTTTTATTAACAATGTGACGAAAGTTGTCCAATATATATATATTTGTATATGTACTTTTCTGTTCGTTTTATTACAGTTTGATAGGGGCTGCAGGCCTCCCTGAGCCCTTAAAGACTTAAGCTCTTAACCTCCCGACTTTCGATTAGAATTGGAGCTGGAGCCTAATTAAAAGTAAACAGAAGTTCCCAGCATCGGGCCAATATTTACCCCAATTGAATAATTAGTGCGTCACAAGAATGGCGCAGACCTCATTAAGTATGCCGAAAGTTGAGAGGTGCAAATGGAAAACGAGAAAAGGGCATTACGAATTCAAAAGCTATTTTAGAGTTTATGAACTGACACGGGTATTTGCATATATATGACGCACTACATACGGTTTGTCCTTTTATTCAGACACTCCATATGTATCTTTTCCAATCACTGTGACAGTGTATAGATTTATGAATATATCTCTTATCCAGACATTTCTGGGCTAAGCGCTCATTTTATTATTGCCGGAGGCATACAAAATTCTATAAATACTTTATGAAATTAGGGCGCCGCATTAGGTGGACAGGAACTCACCGCCCAATTCCAAGTCTGTGCGTTGGTGGAGATGGTTGCTGGGGGCCCCCTGTTGTCGCCCTGTTTACAACAATAGGCTTATGGGCCTTAAACCTTGAGCGGAACACATGCCACACGGGACGAAATGTAATCAATTTTGCGCTGAAACAATTTCCCTGCCACTGCCATTACTCTGTGGCGGAACTGTGAAACCCTTCCAGCAGGCAGCCACCAACCACCACCACCAACCCGCCCACCACTCTCCATCCTCACCCACTTTCATAATAACAAACGTAATTTAACGGAAAATATTGAATTACTTAGATGAAAGCGCCCCAGTTACCTTCGTCTTAAAGGGAATCCGATATGAAAGTCAAGTGAAAGTACTTGAGTAGACAAAAAGACCCCCGAAAATGGTGACCTTCAATTGGGGAGGAATGTGGCCATCCTATCTCCTCCATTTAAGATTCCGGCTGTTTGTGTAGGCGAACCGCCGGATGACTTCCGCTTGGGCAAACTCTTCACCTGGCCGTAGCCAACCTGGTCCTGAGCACACACTCAAACTATATCGGCTTTATGTTTGTATATATCTATTTTTAACAGACCCAATCGAGCGCACTTTCGAGTGTTAATGAAGGGAGAAATCGCCCGAATCTGTCCACACATCCTCGTGTATTTTTAATATATGGACGGGTATATTGTGTCACTTACCTTCGGAGGTGACCAGTCGACTTCTGGCCAGGTCCGCTTTGTTCGAAACGAGGATGACTGCCTTCTGGGCGATGTTCTGATTGGTCCAGAGCACCTGCAGCACCTGCTCCGCCACGCTGAAGCTGCTCCTGTCCGCGGCCGAGTAGATGACGCAGTAGCCGTGCGGATCGTAGTTGGTCAGGCACTCATCCGGCTGTGAATGGAGGAGTGGAGGTGACACCGAGGTGACATTGAGTGAGGTTGAGAGCTTTGGCAAAGTGTGATTCCCCGCTTGTGTGGGTTAGTTGATGGCCGTGCATGCTAATGGCATTATGAAATGTCACTGATAGAGTGCAGGGCGCCAGACGGATGAGCAGGTATATATAATGGCAGTGGTCACAATAATAGCAACAAAGCTCCGAAGGCTACATAATGGGTATTTTAAAAGCTATAGATGCTGTTTTCAAATCCATTTAACACACTCTAAAAGCCAAGGTCGCAAAATGATTTTTTCAAAGCAATTTACATTCTTTCTCCATTATAACATCCATTAAAAACTTTTCAATATTTAACTATTTTGTATCGACCTTTACTAATAAAACCAAAATATAATCTTTAGCACTATTGTGACCACTGTCCTTTCCTTTTTATACAACAGTAAGTGATTTGAATGGTACTTACGGTCATTTCGGTGTATCCATGGTCGATGAATATCAGCTCGGACTCTTCCCCACTGAGTAATACTGAAACGGCCTTCTCGCCAGACTCGTCATCTGCACACAGTGAAGGAGAAAGTCTAGGTTAGAACCAATGTATTTCCATGTGCGTCAAAATAAAGCTCAAGTTCGATAACTTAAATGTCAAGCAATGAAATGATTTACAACATCAACTTTTGGAAGTGCAGAAACAAGGAGTATGTGCATGTATTTGTTGTGTGTGGCTCTGATGGGTGTATCTACAAGTGTCGTCCTCTGCATGCGAGTATTTGTGAACCCATTAGCCAAGTTGAATGAACACAGCCCGGGGATTGACCGGAAGTCTACCCCGGAGTGCCCCGAAATGTATGCTAACTTATGGGAAATTAAATTGCCCACCACAAGTATGCAATGCAATGGGTGCAACAGGGACTACAGTCTGGTCGGAAAAATCATCTGCTAAAGGTAGTGAAAAGTGGTGTGTGGCATTGTTTGCGTTTGTGTTAGTGAGTGCTTTCTCAATTATTCATTTAATGTGTTCTCTACTGTTTTCATACTTTTAATTAAAAAAAACTAAGGGGAAGCTGTGGCATTTGTAGTTTTCGAATATGCATATATATGGCACGTTCATTATTTGTGCCTCGTCCCCAGTGGCAATCAATAATTGCAGCCACGACTCGAAGCCCAGTGCTTCTCACCGAATCATTAATTAAATTTCATTTGTTGTGTTTGTGATGTGCATAATCATTTCAATATACGAGCAGTAGAGCGCCAGTCCGCCAAGGTTGCCCATCGACTGGCCATAAATCACAAGCGAAACAAAGGCCGCAATCGTTTGACAATCGATTGGAAAGGTCTACGGGACTATACATTATATAGATATTGGGGGGGTAATGGTTAATGTTGTGTTTTTTTTGGGGGATGGCATTGCTAGCTCTAACTTCCGGGGCGTGGCTGGTGGGCAGGTGTGTTTCGGTTCGCAAGGAGGACGGAGTTTCTCTAGCATTTAATCGCAGGGCTAATGCAGTCGAGGGTTAAGTGTTTAGCTAGTTTGTTGTTTGGTTAAGTTTGTTGGATAGTTGAAAAGCGTTTCAATTATATGTATATAGAGATATTTGGATAAATATTAAGGAGTAGCATAATTAACAAGGTTATTATTAATATTGTTCAGTTGCTGGTTGCTTTTACCGTCGGCGGCTTTTTCAATTAGTATGCGTATATCACAGTTGCCTAGATCTGATCACGATCACGATTTTGGTTCGGTATACGATTTCGGTTTATTAGTTGTATGTACAAAGATGTTGTTGTTAATACGGTTGTTGTTGTTGTTGTTTTTCGAGTTTTGTAGGGTCAGTTTGAGACATTGAGTTGTATGATTGGTTGATATTCGGAATGGAGAGAAACAGAACAAATTATCATTTCTTTATAGAACAGTATGATACAGTAGCGGATTTCAATATGAGGTCTTGTGTGTTGGATAAGCATATACACAGTGGGATCATCGGTGGCTAAGTATGGCTAAAGGAACTTGGAATTGCTCAAAACCGAAAACCTTTCAATTTTTGCTTTAAAAAAATTCCAAATGTTCGACGAGCGAGCGACAAATTTATTTTTATTAAATTTTTCTATTCGCGGCAAGATTTATTCTTTTATTAATTTTTTTGCCTTCGTTCTTTTGTGCCAATAGAAATGTTTATTCGAATCTTTTCATTGACTCCCTGCCAGAGAATGAAACAGTTTTCCCTGGCCAATTCCATTCCTTTATAGAATCGCAAAACCCAAAAATGAGGAGAATTTATTTTCATTGCAGCAGCGTTTGTTATGCTTTATGCCAATATGTGTTGACCCATTGGGTGGTGGCAATAGCTCGGCACACTCATAAAACGCCCAAAGCAAACGAAACCAAACAGAAGGCGGTACGTACTCAACGGAACAAAACAAGGCACAACGAGTACAGAACTAAAAAACACAAAAAATAAAAATAAAAATTTCCGAACACGGATGGCTTTTTATGATCCATGATACGGGGGCAAACAGACGGCACAGAGCCAAACAGAAACCAAACTAATATGATAGCCAGTTAGGACAACATAATACAGCACGGCTACAACATCGACTAGGCAAACGGAGGTAGTGCCAACCAATGAATTATGAAATAATATCAACTGAAGCCAAAGCACTCGCTCACGACTAGCAGACAGACACGGGATGACACAAGGACAGGGGCTATGCAGTGCACTTTGGGTGGAAGGTTGGTCTAAGGTCCGGAATCCGGAAGCAAGCATCTCCGGATGGGGGATGTACACTCACCGATGCTCGTGTCGTAGGCGTGCAGGTACTCCGACGTCATGAACTGCGAGACAAGCGAACTCTTGCCCACGGCAGGACCACCTAGCATTAGGACCCTGGAATGGAAATAACAAAGCGGAGGATGCCAATTAGTTACTGTATTTCGATGATAAATCGGTTGATATTATTATTGTTATTTTAATGTTAATGCCTCTTGACCTTTTCATCATTTCATTGATTTGAATTTCATAAAGGTTGCAGGAAACAGCAATTTTATAAAGGCCAGACTGGTCCATTGATTTATGTACATAAAAATTATTTTTAATTGGACAGCCTTTACTAATGGCATGTGTGTATTAAATAAATATTAAATCACGAATTTTGATAATGTATTATGAGTTCGATAGAATGGAAAAGAGCTGTAGGTAATTTTTGCCAAATTGAATGCTTAATTTAAGGAAAAAATATATAAAAATATATTTGTAAAATCGAAAATTTGAAATAAATCACTCAATAGAACTGACTCACCTGTATGGACCATTGCCTGGATTGGATGTGCTGCTCTCCCTGCTGGAGGCCAACGAGGTTCGGGCGGATACGGATGCGGGGGCGGACAGCTGCTGCTGGGCAGTCAAGTGCTCGGTGCTGGAATTCGAACTGGCAACGCTGTTGTTGGAGCGACTGCGTCGGCTCTTTAAGGAATCGCCGCGGTTAACTACGCCCTTGCCAGTGATCGAAAAGTGGCGCAGCCTGTAGTACTCCTCCTCCACTCCAGTGTTCGGCATGGAAGCCACTCTAAGCCATGGAAAGATTGGTTATTATGATAGAGATGTTAGCCGCAAGGTGGCCACCAAACACCCACCTGGATCTCTGCTGGGGGAGGCACAACTGATTTGGCCTTCCCGACGCCCTGCTGCCGGGCATCTTCACCGATTGCGAGCGGCTGTGATGTGGTGAGCCATATCTGGAATAGTAACAAGGCGACATCGTTAGTGCCGAAAGTCAAGCTAGAAATTCGAGTCCTCTATGCAGGCTCATGTTCTGTCATTGTGGGAGACGAGGAGAGGGCCAACCGAATGCCACTCATAACCAAACTGCAGATGACAGCGGTTTAATGGAGATCCAGATATGCATTTCTTACCCAACGCCGTCGCCGCCCTCTTCTCTGGCTTCACCTGCCATGTCCTTGGCCACTCTGAATGCCAAAAGACCAAAGGACATGTGCTTGGAGTGTCCTTGGGCGTCGAAGCGAGTTAACCACAAGCCAGAAAGGCGAAAATATTGATAATTAAAACGCCCAATCTGGTGGAAAGCCCGAAACAGAATGAAATTTAATGCATTGCAGTTCAGCCTGGGCTGTGTGGAATATTTCAAATATTTAAATTTCCAATATGACAATCAGATGCAGGAACTGCGTCCACGAGCAAGTCAGAAATGTTTGTTTATCCATTGGAATTTTTGCCCAAAAACAAAACTAAATTCGCCCCCAAACGGCTTGGCATGGCGAACTGGCAACAGGTCGTATGAGTAATTTAAAAAGTTATGATCCCATCATGGCTTTTTCCCCTTCTTTCTCGTTATTTTCCTCTTTCGAGTTTGTTGCAATGCAAAACTGCTGGCAGGTGAAGGCCATAAAAGCGGTCCCCTGTTCTTCTCATATTGTTGTTCTCTGTTTGCCCGTTTGGCCATTTAAAATTTGATTGCTTTGGTCCGAGCTTTTTACGAGAGTCTTGAAAATCGATTGGCATTCAATCGGAAATTAAATCTCAGGCCGGGCCATAAAACGTAATCCGTCAAAGGTCGCAGTGGTTAGGGAACCAGGAAGCATACCCACTTACCGCATTTCGAAGTCGCGCAGCTCCTCGATGGTTAGCGTGTTGGTCACATCCAGCAGCTGCCTCATGTTCTCGTCCCGCTTGTGCTGCTGTTGTTGTTGCTGCTGCTGCTGCTGTTGGTGGTTGTGATTGTGATGGTTGTGGGCATGGGTCTGTGGGTGGTGGTGCAGATGCGTCGGCGGATGGGCCAGCTGCTGCGAGTTGCGCTTCCGAGCCACCAGCTCCTTGCCCTGCTCCACGCTGATGAAGTCCCCCTCGTTCTTGATTAGCAGCGTCTCCACTGTGTTGTCCAGACTTAACGAGGGCTATAAAGGAGAAAAACAGATAGATAGATAGAGCGTTGGTAAAAACAAAACAGAAAGGGGTTGGTGTCGGAAGTATCGTTGATTGTTAAGCGGATTGCTGCAATTTCAATTGAAAAGCAACTGCTCGACCAAGAGCTCATGCCCCGATGACTTCATTCATTGCCAACGCCGCCGCCCCCACGAGCTTATGAATTTGTGGCAGTCTTCCTCGCTCTTCTTCTGCTGCCCCAAGGATCCGCTACCCTTCAAGGGTTTTTCCCAGCGATTTTGAAAAGTTTTTGCTTTATCTACACACCTTGAACAGGTGTTCTGACAGGCCATGCAAAAGCCAGCAGAATGCCGTAAGCCTCTGCATTGCGTGTCTGCAATTGCAAATTCAAATACTTCTCGGCATTCGTGTCGAGGTGAATTCCCGTAAATTTATGTTTCGCCTTCGGTTAACTGGCCAAGGACTATTGACCAGAATTTAGCTGGCTAACAGCTAATAGAGCCTAATGATAGGCTTAATAAGCTCCGCCTAGAGTCTAATTTGGCTGACGGAAATTGCCCCCAAGAACTAAGCAAATATCTGAATTGCCGCCATCAAGCTAAACTTAAGTGCTACATGCGGAATAATTAACCTCGTAGTTTTCATGCAAATTCCGATTTGAGGCATGAAAGTATTTTAAAATTCGTGCTCGTATCCCAATCTCCACTTAAATAAATCACCAGACAGGAAGCTATCCACATATGGTATTTAAATTTTATGAACTTAATAAGTTATTTAAGCTCTCATCTGTTATGAACTCAGATTTAAGTTTAGTGAAAATAATTCCTTAGTATTAAGACAGCTTACTTTATAGTTACTATAGTAATTCCCAGAACCAGCATATTTAAACATGTTTCATTTGTTTGGCCAAAACAATGCGGCAAACATAAAACACTATCAAAGTTCAGCTTTAGATTCGTCTGTCTGGGCGAAAACAAATGACTGCTATTCATGTTAAATTATCAAGAATTTACGCAGGCAAAAAAGGCAGGCCCATAAATTTCACCAGCACTCGGAAAAAGTCTACCTGAGAACCCACACAACATCACAGACATATTTATCCAGCGAATGGCCAAATTAATTTGTGTATTTTATTGGCAGGCACGACAGTAAGGGGCATAAGGAAAAACTTACTCTGCATTTCACCCGAGCGCTAATTAATAATGTGCGAATGTGTGTGTGTGTGTGAGAGTGGTCCTAATGATACCGCCCACAAAAGCCTCTCGATTTCACATCTCCTTCCATTTAAAGACCATCCAACATTCCCACATTCGAATCAAGTTTTTCAAGTGGCCAACCGAGAAACTTTCTGGCTGATCCGACCCAGGGGAGCAATTTGATGGCGCCGAAAGGGGAGGCGACACTTTCACTGATGACGAAACCCGCGGGAAAGTCTCCGACATTATGCCACTGCCATCGCCAACGTCGTCGCCATCGCCATCGTCTTCGTACAAGCAATGACGCGTTACACGCGGCGTATGAGTAATATTGCTGTGGACATGCTGCTATGACGCTGCTCTTTTTCATCTTGGCTGCCATTTCCCATTTTCCCCATTACACAAACGCCGAAAATAGTTTTTCTTGCATCGCTTAGTGCGTCGGTTCTACTTTTTGTCAGATTATTTTTAGCAGCAGATTGCATTGGGGAAAAAAACTTGCCACATACACCCCAGAGTTCCCGAAAAAGCCAGAGCGAGCTGCGATAAAGAACAGAACTTCTACGGTAGCAATTTGAAGGAAAGTGCTTGCTAAGTATTTTATATTTCAGCAACACTTATTATCTGATATTCTTAAGTTTTTGGATAACTTCTGGACTGTATTTAAAGTGAATAGAATTTAAGTTTGAAATAAACTAAGGTTAGAACTTTGATATTTGGGTACAACAATGTTTAATGTTGGCTAGTGTGGTCGCAAATAAACTTGTAAGGCTGCAAAAGCTGTCACTAGCAGACTAGCAGTATGCAAGCTACTCCTTCAAAGTATATCTTAAGTAGTACTAAGTCAGATTTTGGTATAACATGAGTTTAGCAGATGTATGGAAAGTAGTTAATGTAAGGCAATTTATTCACTGATTTTCTTTTAAGATGAAAGGCCAGTTGCTGGTTCAGTTTCTCAAGCCAAAATGAATTCGTTTTCTAAGCCAATTTACGTTTAAATATCAACTGACTCGTTTTAAAACCTGCAATGGGTAGTCCCAAGTCATATTTCCATTTCGATCAACTTTGCCTCCTGAACATGCTTGGAGATGCCATGCTGGTGCCGAAGAGTACTACGCAGCGCATTTGTGTATCCAAAGGCATGGGAATCGGCAATTAAAAAGCAAACCGACTCGAGGTGTTAGGAAAATGTATGGCACTCCCAGAAAAACAGGCGCATAAAATGTTAGGCATTCGAATCGAGTGAAAGTGAGAAAAGTCTAGCACGAAAAAATGTTATTGTCAAAGGACTGGTCTACGTGCAGATTGGCAGGAATTGAAGTCAGATTGGCAGGAATTAATCAACTGCCGAATGCCAAGAGGAGATAACTATAATCATTAGCCAAGATTGGAATGCAATTAAAGTCGGTTTTGTTTATGAAAAATGCAAACTGCAAATCGAACTGAATGATGGTCGATTGTGCGAAATTCTCGCATAAATTATAATTGATATTACAGGAGCTGCCAGAACTCATTTCACACCCGATCGATTCGAGAGTTCCCCTCGAATTTTGGCATCGTTTAAAAATACATTTAGTTTGCTAAGTATGTATTGAAAATAATCCAGCACACGGCTCCATGCATGCAAATCACTCTTCATGTTTTTGTTTCATTTTCACGCCGCTCTGTGTTCAATCGCCTGTGAAATCCGGCGAAAGAGCCACGGAGAAGCGGTGGTCGGGGTGGCCAGGTTTTCTGGCTATTTTCATGCCAAACGAATATTAAAAATAAAAAGCGTACTCGGGCAACTTGAAAACCTGTTGGGGGCTGGCCCAGCGATTTGTTTTCGTGGGCCAAAAGGAAAACATACCATTACTGGAGGCAGTCGCTGTTTAAATTGTGATTTTCCAAACACAACCATTTTCCCGCCGCACACTAATCATGATGATGTCTGGTCGGGATGAAAGTGTGATGGACTGCTCTCTGCTAGTAACAAAGTGAAACATTTCGGGTGATTCCTTCTCGTTAGCGGATTTCAACCGAAATTGTTCACGAGTCAGACGACTGAGCGGAAAAGTGCAAAGTGCAGGTAAATAACCTGCAGCAAACTATTCGCGCTGCTGGAAAATGTTTCCGCGAACGATTACTTTCGGCGGTGGTATGTGGTATGTGAGGCATATGCACAATAACAAGAGCAGAACGCTCGCATATCTGTATCTCCTTGTACGTGTTTATTTATAGCAAAGGTTTATTTATGGCATCGCTGCATAAAGTGCAGATGTAGATGTAGACGAAGATGTAGATGCAGATGCAGCTGCAGCAAATGCAGCAGCAGCCTTCGGTAAGCCGAATGGGGTCAATGAATTCGCCATCAATGGAGGGCTGACGGAAAACTGGCCCAGGTGCGGGGGCAGTTCATAAATCAGCTAATTAATGTCACTTCATAAGGCAATTGGCCTCGGGCCGAGCGGCCCACTGAATCCAGTGCCCAGAGACACAGTGCCCCAAAAAGTGGGAAAGTGATTCTGAAATGGCTGCGGGGGTCGTAAAAGAGCAAAGCCAGCAGTGGAGCAAAATGGGGGGTATCAAGTGGCCGAATTAAGTAGCCGGCCAACGTGCCGTTGGCAATTATCAAGTATACGCAGCGTCCAGCTGGGAGGAAAGTTCAGGTCGGGCAATTAGTGGGTTCAAATCTCTCTGGTAAGGTTGAGGTGAACCTAATCGAGTCCCTGACCACAACCCTAGTCGCTGAGAGTGAACTCTGGCGAATGTTTGGCCATTCCCGCGTTATAATTAGCCACGTTGGATATTGTGGCCCTGGCAGAGTCAATAACCGTTTTGGCCATTTATCATTTATCAATGATCGGCAAATTCTGCCATTTTGCGAAACTAAAAGAGTGAATGGCCGCGGCGCTAAGTGAAAGTGCCAAGAAATGTTTGGGGAAACTGACCTTTGAAGGCTACTGGGCCTGAGCCATAGGAATAATGGCCAATTAATGTGTGTTTAGTTGGCTGATACAAATAATGGCTAATTAATGTTTCGAGTTATTTTCAGATGATTTGGTCAATTGTGCTGCACACATCTGGGCAGATACACCATTTAAGGCCATAAAGGAAAACCAAACAAGGACACAGAAGAGGGCTTAAGCGGTTTTAGCCACGCTTTATGGCGTCCAAGGCGAGCCAGCAAATGCATTCTCTCACACATTTGCCTGCAATCAAAGGAAACCATTCGACCACTCAATGTAAAATCAATAGGAAACAACCGACAATGTGAAAAACTGGAAACATGTTTGCGTTTCTGCCGATGTTTACTTCGAGGAAGGTGGAAATGGCACGAAGGCGGCACTGGGGGAGAGCTGGGGGATTAGACAACCTCCAAATGAAACAAGGCTGCATTCGCCACCAAACCAGGTGCGTGCCTGCTAATAATTCGCCAAAGAAGCGACCAAGGTGAGCAGGTGAGTGGGTGAAATGGATGAGCGAGTGAGGGCAACTGGTAGATAAATCGCCAGGTATCGGTGGGTCGCTTGCAATTTATGTAGATTTATACGTCTCGTTGCCCACACACACGCACACCCCACCAAATCCTCACAAACTTATGGAGGCAATCGATCTGCGCTGAAAACAATTACACTTTACACCTGATTGAAGGTTGGGGCACTAAATAAAGGAGGATGCCCCTCGCTAGGTTCTCGGAAAATCTCCACTCCGGACGTCATTTATTTTGGATGAAAATTCTATTGTACGACGCATAATATTTTCCTCTCAGTATATCTATACATAAATGCTTGTTATTATTGTTTGTTCACCAGGAAGTGCCTTCGCATCGAACATCTATAATCTATCTGACTCTGTATATGAATCTGTATATGTATCTTAATCTGTATCTGTAACTGATGAATATGCATTTCTCTTCTCCAACAACCCCAGCGATTCCCTCTCTTTATGCATCATGGGCAAGAGTTCGAAGAATGAAATGCTAACTCACTGCCGATTACAATGAAATCGTTAAATATATAAAGATATATAAAGATATACATCTGGGTCTATGACAAGTTCCCGCCCCCTTTTCCCTGTTTGCCTGTACGGCGGCGGCCTGTGCTTTTATGTTTTTATGATCCGATTTGAGCAAGTAAATAATAAATAAGGCGAAAACAACCTGCGATCTGGCACTGGACCGATGCTTGGACTACAAACTGGGCAACTGGGTCCCTCGCTCTGCTGTGGTAGTTTATTTTGACAGCTGTCATCTGCGAGATGTACGGAATAATAAAGACTACCCCCATATTTCGCTGTCAGTTGCAACATTTTAATTATTTACGACAAATTCATTGTGGGTCAGAAACTCATTCACTGAAGCGGCGATTGTGGCGCAATATTCATAGTGGGTAAGTGGGTGCCCCTGCCCCTGTACCAGTACCAGTTCCAGCCCCCCAACTTTATAGCCTGATAACTTGATAAGTCACCCGAATTCCGATCTAGGCAGGAGCAGGAATTAATCCATAACCACTATTTCGGACCCAAGCAGAGCGGAGCGGAGTGCGAATTTATGGCCAAATTGACGTCACTGCCAGTCGATAAATCTCGCATATCGCTTGTTCGTTGGATCAAGGCATCAACTTGCTATCTTATCTATGCCTCCACGGAGAAGGCATATTGATGCCTCCGCCTGGTTGTTGCCTCATTAGCAAAATCAATCAAGCGGGCGCGTCAGGGATTTGGTGGTATGTTACCCCAGCCTGAAGTTACACTATTTGTGGGTTGTTCCCAATCCCAAAGAGCGGGGCTATAGTTACCTCCTTGTAGCGCTTTGAAAGACTGCGGCAGATGCGCTTGTAGAAGGGCGCCATGATTCACTGCTTCACCGGATTTATAGACTTGTAAATGGAATTTAACTGTCAATTGAGCGGATTTAGTATCCTCTTTGTAACTCTTTATCTGTCCTTAAGTCACCGCGTTTACATAGCGAACACTAACAGGTTGGCACTTAAGAAAACGATCTGTAGAAGTCGGTATTTGTATCTGATTCTTCGCGATTCCGTTTCTATAATGACGATGCTTTGCTTTCGGATGGCTCTCTTTAACTGACGAGATCGGCGTCGGGCGCCCCTTTTTATTAGCTGTGAAAATCGGCCGAGAGAGAGAGCAATATCCAGAGAGAGATATACGGTTGGGAGAGCCTGGAGAGAGCAGACAAAGCATGGAGACATGGAGAGCGGCAGATGGAAAGCGGGAAGTGGAGACCCCACACGGTGGCATATCGAAGCCGGAGAGTTGGACAAAGAGAGCTTCCGTTATCTATATATACGGATGGCATTATCAATAGAACCTGCCCATAAATCAATGAGGGCTCATTATCTTCCTTACAACAGAGAATTTCTTTGGAAATTACTATCCTTTATAGGAAATTGCTTATATTTGATTATATTTTTAGAAGTAGAAAGGATAAAAAGGGCAGTTACAGTTTATATGAAATCTATGATCTCTTTCAAAGTTTTAGTAAGAAAAAACACTTAATAATTTATTTTTGGAAATAAATAAATAATAAAGTTATCATAACAATCTAAGGTATTTTCTCAGAGATTGTTATGACTTAAAGTACACAAAATAAACAGAAAATGCAATAAATCGAATGGGAAATATTTATATAGATTTGTTTACCGCAAACTTATCGTAATTACTAATATCTCACCCCCGACTGTACTCACCTGCTGGACGACGATGGTGGCGCGTGGCTGTTTGCAGACGGCGGCTGCCTCCAGGGGATTGGCGGTCACGTTGATGGGTCCGTTGCCACTGGCACTGCCTGCGCTGTTTCGATCCTCCGTCTGGATGTAGAAGTGCTCCTCCTTCTGATGCCGCTGCTTGCTCTTGAAGGATCTCCGGCGAGAGGAGTCCGTGGGACTGACGGCGGACTCGCTGCCCGGACTGGGCATCATGTGATGCAGATTCAACAGGGATCCGGACACCGATCCGGAGCCGGAGCCGAGCTTGGGCGGGATCTGCTCAAACTTACTGGCAATGTCCTCGAACTTGTTCAGTTCGGCATAGGAATGATCGCTGGGCGAAGAGGAGGACTTGGCCTGGGGATAGAAGGCATCCGACTGCGGCACATACTGCTGATTCTCCCGAATGGTCGTATGGATCACCGAATCCGGCCGGATACGCTTGGAATTCTTACGCGAGGGCGGACGATCCCGCTCCCAGTCTCGCTGCTCTTGGTAATGCTGCTGCAGTTGCTCCTGGTGGCTCAACCGCGAGTACTGCTGGAAAATGTCTGCCCCAGATTTCCGTTCATACACGGAACAGTTTTCCGCCTCCGAATCACTGCTGTTGCTGGCCGTCGTGGAGCTCGGGGCAAAGCACTCCCTCTGGATGCGCTCGTAGTCCAAAGCCTCCCGATCGAAGGGGAACATGGTTCCGGGTCCGGTGGCTTCTCTCAAGCAGCGCTCACTGCTTCCACTCGATGAACTGGAAGAGTACTTCCTCTGCTGGGAGGATGGAGACAGCTGATGGGGTGGAACATTTTGGGATTGCCTCTGCTTTTGCTTCCCTGAGCTCCCGAAGAAATTCACGTCCTTCATTGTGGGCGGCGCCGAGCTGACCTTGGCTATGGCACCCGTGGAGGCTATGGGCGTCGTCCTGCGCTTCTCCCGCTTCGGACTTGCACGGCGACTGTGTGACGGCGACACACTGGGCGAGATGTGGTTGGGGTCACGCTCCCGGGGACGCAGCTTCTTGCTGCGATTGCTAACGCTATCTCCACTGCGCTCGTCATCCTCCTCATCGCCCTCGCTGGCAGCCACGCCTCCATTGCCCCCAGCCCCGGATCCAGGTCCTCCTCCTCCTCCTGCTCCAGATCCTGCTCCCAAGCCCACTCCCGCCTCCTTTCCCGACTCATTACCATAGTTCTTGAAGGAAAAGTGGCTGGCGGACTTTTCGCTGCTGCGCGCCGACTTTGGTGACTGCGGGGGATCGAAGGTGAAGTGCTCCCGGACTCGAGTGGGCGGTGGAGCCGTGCTGGGCTCTCGTTCCTTGCGCTCCCTACGCTCATCCCGCTGGCTGCCTGGCGAGTGACCGCCCGCCGGGTGGCGCCGCTGCGAGGAGAGAAGTGGTGTGGTGGAAGACGGCTCGCCGGTCAGGATGGACAAACATGACTCCTGGCTCTGAAAGGCAAAGTGGTAAATTAGGGGAGAATGTTGTAACAGTTTATAGGTTGCACCATAAGGCTAATATACTCTTAAGTAATCAATAAGCAATCAAATTTATTGCTTCTCTGAGGATTGATTATCGGGACTCTTGGCTCTGCCAGGCAAAGGAGTAAATTAAGGGAAAATGTCAAAGCAATTTTGATGTTCTGGAGAATGGCTTTTAGTTTCTTGAGGGTAAATTTCTGCACAAAGTGATGAAAAATTTGTTTTAGGGCTGGGAATGTAAGCTATTCGAAGTTCAAAGTTTATATTTTTCTTTATGGTTGAAAGGTTTTATGCCTTTTCGTTTAAAAATCCTGCTTTAAGGATAACCAACTTTTATGAATATGAAGATTAGAGAAGGAAATCAAATATTGTATATCATTAAATTCCAATTTGCCATGTTACTAGGTAGCTGTCCGTGATTCCTCCGAATGCCTAATAATATATTTTCAACTTTTCAGAACTTCAAAAGTCCTTGGCCATCAATAAGCAGCTCTTCGAGCTTTAAAGAGGAATAAATCCCCATTTGAGACACCCTTCAGCAACTTCAGGACACAATGCGAAGTAAATAATCACATGATTCAGTGGCGGAAGTGGTTCTTGGCCAAGCGGATTTAATCCGGAATTTAATTCCGTTCCGTTTGGTTTCGTTTCGTACCTCGACGCTGTCCTGGAGATTCATGTCGGGCCTGGGCGGATACCTTGAACAGCTCGTTAGTTCCAGCTCAGTGGCAACGCGTCCACTGGCGCCTCCCATTCCTCCAAAGCCCTCGTGCTCCGAATCGATATGGACGGCGGTGAGTAGTGGCTCCTCCAGCGAACTGAAAAGCGGCTCACTGGGACCGGAGTTGTCACCTAAAGAAGGAAGGAAAGCAAAGTGCAGAAGGCGCGGGACAGATTGATTAGTTAGTTGATTAATTAATGCGGCCGCGTTGGGACATCAATCAAGCAATAACATCAGGATGTGAGTCCTTACCCAGGTCCAGGGAGTCGCACGTCTCGGAGGTATCCGTGTGTGTCACATTCGTGATCAGAGTGCAGGCCGAGTCCGTGGACGTGTTGATGGTGGTATCCGGTATGGAGGCGGACGAGGTACCCATGACCACCAGCTGTAAAGGGAGGAGAAAGATTACTTGAGGTTTGCCAATATCAAGTTCTTTCCTATTTCCTTATTAATGGAAAATCTTTAGTTGAGGGGTGTTATTGTTAAATATTAACAAGCTATTATATAATATCCTGAATACTTACCTTTGGAACTCCACCTGCAGTCGTCATATTGTGAATGGGCCCGGCAACGGAGTTGTGATAAGCACTGGACACGGGATTCAGGGGTAGGCCATTGAGAGGAGTTGCAGAAGAAGTTGAGGCATTGATCTTGTTCTTGATGCTGCGTCCGCTCTTGAAGTACAACCGCCGGAGAGCTGTGGCGGCCGAAGAGCCGGACGTGCTGAAGCCATCGTTGTCGGAGCCACTGGAGTTGCTTCCGCCGGAGAAGACACTGGAACCATTAAGCTGAGCAGCTGCTCTGGACGCTGTTGGAGTTGAAGGCTTCGATCTGGAGACATTGCAGGGTAGAGAAGAGGCATTCGACATCCTTCTGGCAGCAGGATGCGGAGACTGCGATTGGGATTGAGATTGAGATTGAGCCGGAGAAGCAGCACGGTTGGCTGGCGGGGACTTGTCGCTTCTTCCGCTTGAAGTTTGACCCAAAGCCAGGGCCATCATTGCCGCTGATCTGGTACTCATATAACCAGCCGGTGGCTTGGGCTTTCCGGAGTTCGAATTGGAGTTGGAGTTGGGTCTGCTGTTGCTATTGCTGTTGTGGTTACCCTGTGCGGCATGAGCAAGAGATGCCGTCATGGCTGTGGTTCAAAATAAGGGCAGATCGAAAGACAAGTCGGTTATGAACACTCAAAGAAAGTTGTGGTTTCATTTTCAGCTTGCGGTTTTCTATTTGCGGTTGCTTAAAATGTGTAAATGCTTGTTTAACGACGCGAATGAAAATTGTTTGTTTAGTTTTTTGTCTCTTAACTCCTTTAACTCCTACTCTTTAAAGAAAAGGTTTGCATTTCGTTATACCAAACTAACTACAAGTTGTCTTTCAACCATTTCAATATACGAGAAAGGTGAGCCACTTTGTACCCCTAATCACAGTTTGAAAAGAACTGAACTTCAAGCCATTTTGTACCCCTAATCACAGTTTGAAAAGAACTGCATTTCAAGCTTTGTATCTCTTTCTAAGTAAAAAATAACAAAAAGAATAGAATTTAGGTGCAGTATGTGATTCAACTGCAGTCGGCAACCTCACCCCGTCAACAATCACTGGAACGTTCCTAAATCAACAAATAAAATCGATGGACTATAGCGTGACACGGGCACCTCATTCGACGGCGGCTCACATGTTGCGCCATTAAGTGACTCAACCCCGAAACCCGGGGGGTAACTGGGTTCCAATCCCCGGCGGAGAGTGGTGTATACCCCCGGGGATTTTCCCCAACCGCAAACGTGGAATGGGTGAGAGATTTTCGCACGTAAACAGGGCGAACTTTTCGTGGAAAAACAAAGCACACAATCAAACAGCGCTGAGATAATAATCATCAAATAATCGAATTCCATTCCACAATTAATTGTGCGGACGACGGAGTATCCCGGTCCTCGCTGCCCTTTGCCCAACCGCTCTCCTTCTAATGGTGCTTGTTTATCCAAGCCCACTTAAAGAGATTCCCCCCATAAGGTAGCCATCTTCCAAGTTAGTCCAGTTGGTCGATGTGGGCGGCATTTGGCCAAAGGGGAGGTCAGGGAACTCGAGGGGCATAAAGAAAAAAAGAGGTCGACTCCGACGGAGACTTTGGCCCAGAATTCGCGCAAAGTTTGACAGGGCCGGAAATTATACGGGCAGGGCCATTTGCATGTTTCCATTGTACATTATTTACACAAATGTCGCCAAAACTGTGTCAACTATCAGCCATCAGGCCACAAATCTTATGCTACACAGAGGGAAAATGGGTTTCAGTTTAAGGTAACGTTTTCGGAGTGAAATATAAGTTTTCTTCTTCTAAGGAAAATTTAAAATTTAGTTTAATTTAAACTCAACAAAAATAGAATTTATGGGATAACTAGGATCAATCGTTTACTAACTAATTTTATTTCTATTTCAGACTTTTCACTGTATTTTAATTAGAGAATTGATTGATTTTATTTTTCTAAGATTTTGCCATCATCTTTTTAGATTGGTATAGCTTTTCCTTATAGAATATTTTAAGTAAAGGAAGAAACTATTAAAAACACAAAAGTAGATTAATGAAGTAAATTCCTAGAAGTAAGTAGTGGGAAATTATTATTCATTTCCTGCTTTCAGAGTTCTTTTCCCCCTTAAAAATGTATTCCAAAATCAACGCAAATATTAAAAAATATATTTAAAATCTTTTTCAAAAATCAATTAAGTTATTATAAGAAAACCGCAGCATAAACGAAAGTTATCAAACACATTTTCATTACACATTGTAAACATACCTCTGGCTCCTCGGCTCTTGGACGCTGTTGATCCTCCTGCTCCTGGTGCGTTGGTGCTGTTGGCGGTGCTACGGGCGGCGGTGCTGGCGGCGAAGGCGGTGGCAGTGCTGGTGGAGGGAGAGGGGGAGGGGCAAGGCGAGGAGGAGGAGGCTGAGGTGGGCGGTGATGTTATAGGCCCCGCGAGGGCGGCGTGGGGCGTTGGGCTGCTGGCGTCGCGGAAGATGGGGGAGCCGGGGACATAGCGGTCGGGCTGTAAACAAGAGAAATAGAGTAGAAAAGGTACCCATTAATTACAGCTCAAATAAAGTTGCATTCTATGTTGTTTGCCCGATAAGGTGGGTGTACTCCTATATCGCACATTGTTTACGTTATGTCAGACATCAATCGCCGTGCCCGGCTATCGAACTCCACTCGAGTCAGTCAAGTGCCAGCCGTCGAAGCCAACGATTCCGGATTTCGAATTCCGGATTTGCGTCTGCAGCTGTCAGAGCGGGAATCTCAATAGAAGTCAGCGCCATGAAGCCGCCGCCGCCACACCACCATGGACTGTCAAAATCCGTACTCTTCACGGGACTCTATGTCGCCTTAATGTCAGCAGCCCTCTCGAACGGTATTCCTAGGGCGGTTATTTTCACCCCCCAAAATCCCAGTCCTAACCTTACCCACTGAGTGGCACTGAGTGCTCGCTTAGCAGCTCGTTTTCCGTTTAACTTAATTAGCTGTTTTATTGCGAAATTGGCGTTCTACGACTCATAACTCAGCGGAAATTTAGCGAGAAAAATCAGGTGAATTTGAAATGTTCTTGGCACTCGTTGGCACTCATTTTTCTCGACATGGACATGGAACCCCATTCGAATTTTAGATGAGAATTCTATTCTTATATTTCGCTTTGGTTCGCTTTCGGTTCACTTCGGCCTGTTTTGTCGAGTTCAGCTGTCGACGTCACTCGCCTGTGACCGCATTCAAATTTATTGATTGCCTCACAAAAGATGATACAAATCATCTTTCAGAGATCTCTTCCAGGCACACTGGTTTGGGGTGGCCCAATCTTGGAGGGCAGCGAACCGAGGGCACTCAGGCTCAGTGCTTATCCTTAGAATTGAACTTAAAATCTATGCAAATTTCAAAAGGACTTTTGTTGGCGCAGCCTTCACCCCCATAAGTTGCCTTTTAATTTTAATAACCAGCGACAGATGAAAACATTTTTATTGCCAGCTATAAAGTTTAAAAATACGTCAGTCGTACGTCATGTTTTCTGGGATTTCATGTACGTTGTGGATTGAAAATGCATTTAGTGAGTCTGCATTAAGTAAAAAAATATTAAATTAAATTGATTCAAATGACTAACCATTAGAATCACAATTCTTTGAATTTAATTTATAGCAAATCTCTGATAGTTTGAATATTTTTGGCAGATGGCAAATATCGCTGAGTCGCTGGCACTATACTATGATTATATATGAGTAACCCCTCGATTCCCACAATTTCGTAAAATTTATTTAGAGCAAATATCAAGCTGAGAATTATTTGAATTTTTCGCCGATTTGAGCCCATTGTGACTGGTCTTTTCGAGGTGATACAATGGTCTATCTTTCGAATACCGCGAACCGCATCGAAGCGTGCCAAGAACGATCCTATTTTATGCAGAACTCATAATGCAGAATCGCATCAGAAACCGAAATAGAAATAGAACTGTGTGTTTGTGGTAAGAGTTAGGATCTCGATCCCCAGCAGCTCAATGCCTTTTACTAGTGGCGGGCACCATTGTCGAGGGTCGGCCAGAAAGTCTCGTGTCATCAATCCGTTTACACATCCACGGGGCCAAGATAGTGGCCACTGGTGGGGCCATTGACGTCATTGTTATTACACAAAAAGGCTGATTTAAATATAGAATGTGCTACGCGTACGCATATAGCCGGCGATACATGTCGAGGACGTTGTCGTGCCACTTGGCAAATAGACAGAAAGTCTGCTGCCAAAATTCTCACTTTAATTCAATTAATTATTGTGTTTTTATAGATGCGCTAATGTTTGTTGTTATTGCCTCTAAAGCTGGGGGGAGGCTATTAATAAATTCTAAGAAAAGCACAGCGACAACGCGATCATGACGATGATCATCAAAATCAAATTTAAATTTGAAAACAACGAAAACGAAAACGAAAACGAGAGCGAAAGGCAACGTCATGACCTCGTTCAATCCTCTATTGATATGTAAACTCTGTGTGTTTGCTTTTTGCAGCGCTCGACTGTTATGTGTGCAGCTATTTGGATGGGTACAGTGACACCTCCTGCCTGAACAACCCCAGTGCAGTCACAGTGCTAAACTGCACCAAGAAGTACTGTGTGACGATGCGGCAGGAACTGAAGGTAGGTGTGGGCGGTCTTTACTTTCAAGAGGTATATCTTCTTGATTTTAGTTTATAAAGGAGATCTTTAAAGATATCCTTAAATTAGAAACAAACTTTCATAAATTCTTCTGGGAATTGGTTAAAGTATTAAAGATCCAAGAAGTCAGTTCTACTCGTGTGGGCAAAGGGGCAGAAAAAGTGCAGAAATATAGCTACAAATACCCACTTTCCCCTCTGTGTGAGTACATATGAGTGTGTGAATCCAGTGGAAGCCGGAAAAACTTCTACCCAGTCGTAAAAACGCCCGTGGAACGTGCCACAAATGTTCCCCGACGTCGGCGAACGGGAATTGCAGAGCGTTTAACTCTCCACGTATGCGGCAGCCATCTGCAGACACACTCCCCAATTTCGAGCTGCCGCAGCGCAGCTGTTGCGGCAACAAAGTAACACATGGAATGCTTGATTTTTATGCATCGGCCAACTTTGTTTGGCTAAATGTTGCCACGGCTAAAGTTTCGCCCCTTTTTCTGAAATTAGCGACTCTCACGTAAAAGACAGGCGCAGAACAAAAATGAGTGGGCGCCATTAAATCGTGCCAGCTCCCGCTACTTCGACTAATTGAATCCAAAACTGCACTTTCTGACGGCCCACGCGGCGTATGAGCAATGCGAAATGCTAGGTTTAACGCGAAAGTGGCTGTCAAACTATGGACATTCATTTTGAATACTTTTGATCTGTAATAAAATTTCTCCATTTTAAACTTTTTTACAAATTAAATCTTAATATTTGACCAGAATCTTTTCCCAAAGGAAATATAATCCTCAGAGGGTTCAGAATGATTTTTTTTTTTGCTAGCACGCCTCAATGAAATGCAGACGCTTGATGAAGCGCCGCTCCTTGATTACTTCCACAGTATTGACGCAGCTCGTCTGGCTTTAATTTTCAGCCGTAAGCGGCTCAAATCAAAGGAGCCAAGAAACCGAAGGGAAAGCGGGCGTAAAATAAGCACAAGAAGCGACGGGAGAGTGCATAAAAAATCCATTACCATAATTTAATGGAAAGCCAGAAGGGCGTATAAAGAGCAGCACATACAGAGAGACAGCCATCGACTCTCCACATAGCCAGGAGGACGCCCTACTCTCAACTAGAAGGCTTAGGCCAGCTTACACCCCCACAAAGTCAACTTTGTCGCCTGTTTTAAGCCCCCGCACCATCGGCTTTTACATAACCAGATGAGGTTTCAAAATTTGCAAGTGCCTCATTAGACGGACTGATTGAATTTCGGAGGATCAAAGACCCCCAAAGTCGTCCTGCTTGGAAACTTATGTCGGTCGCATTGCCATCGCCATCGTAGCCAGCAAACTGCAATGCAATTAAAACTTTGTCCGACTCCCCAGAACGGCACTTCCATCCGCCATGTGTCCCTAGTGTGAACTTTGTTTACGCATTAGCTTTGGGGCCGTAGATTGCTTCGGTGCCGCCACGTCCTCATCTGCATTGCTATTGCCATTGCCATTACCCCTGCAGCTGTTCTGGGACAGGAGGCCCAGGAGCCCAGGGGCATTAATTACTTTGCCCGCTGAAACGAGGGCAAATGCAAATTCGATTCGCAGATACGAAATGCAAATAAGCCCTCGTGGCCAAGTGTGATGATTGGTGGGTAGCCAAAGTCGGGTATCATTAATCAGGCAAACAGATATTTCTAATGTGGATTCACTATTTCCATTTCCATTGCCATTCCCTTTTCAGCGCAACTCGAGCAAGGTGATATCCTTTCTACGTGACTGCCAGGACGAGCCAGTGGTAAGTTAGAACGGGAATATTTGCATAGGAAAATATTTCATATTTTCTTTTAATAAAATATATGATTTCTACCACATTCTGTTTGCAATTTATCAAGATAATTGATTCTCCTCTGTACCCTGCAGATGCTCTACGGAAACAGGCCAGATGAAACGTTTCGGACTTACTACACATCCTGCCAGCAGAACAGTTGCAATGGACACAACGGACGGATTAAGAACTCGACAAATGGAACTGGAGGCGGTGGAATTCACAATGCCATAGTTCCAGGAAAGAGTGCTGCCCAAGGGGCACCTTTTTGCCCATTTCCACTGCTCGTTTGGCTTATCCTGGCACTTTGGCAATTGCCTTAGTAAAGGATAGCAAAAATCAAGAAGGAAAAGCAATCATTGAATACCCTGCAAGTCAAGTATTTTCACTACCAGTGGCTAACTTTTAATAAATGTTATCTAACAAAGAAAGAATCTTTTTCCTTGTTTTCTAATAAAAGCATCGAAACCGCCTTAATTAAGCCTTTTATGGCCTAGTCCTTGGCATCCTACAGACAACTCTCAACTAGAAAGCCCTGCCGATAGCCAATTATATGGCTATTAAGTCCAGGCCCAAGGGCTAATTGCTGCGGTTTCGACTCTAGTTGCAGGCTTTGACAAACTTTTGCGTGACTCGGATCAAGGATGCAGGATACGACGTGGGTCGCCATGAAACCACATCGGTAATTGCAGACCAACCAGCGACCGCCAGGCTTTTAGGCCAACATCATTGGATCAAAGGTCGCCGGCACTTCCGGCATGTCCACGCGCTCAAGAACGAATATGAATTCCAGCTAATGACACTCTATGGTAACGCTAATTGCGTGTATCTAATGGATTCGCTGACATCTTTACGCAATGAACACGAAAACTCAAGTGCAAATTGCTCTCGGCAAGTGTAATGCGAATTTGCTTGCACTCGAAGGTTGAACCGAAAATGCAGGCCAGTTAGTGATGTCTTCTACGATGGCCCCTCTCGATCCGGTTATAAATTGGGTAAACAATCAGCTCAATTGTTTACTTTGCCTCATTTGAGTTGCAGCGAATAAATCTGAGTGAGATAACTTTTCGGGTCCTTGACTCTTTGTGTACACATTTGATTTTGTGTTTGTCGAGCAGATCCACGCATTAAAGTTGCCATATGTAACGCCCGCCAGTTTACAGTTTACAGTTTTCAGTTTTCAGTTTTCAGTTTTCAGTTTTCAGTTCGCTGTTACCAGTTTCGGCTCTGGCGCTTTTGGCCAACACGACAGACACGCAGAAAGCAAAAAGCAAAAAGCAAACAGCAAACAAACAAACAACCGCGACAGCAACAAGGACAACAGTAGAGTCTACCGCCCCCTCTGACATGACAAGTGGCCCGTTCCACCCCTTAGTTCCCGTTTCCGGTTAAATTCCATTCCCTCCCCCCGGCCAGACATCAAAAATCGAAACTCAATCCCAAAGTGCCATATCGGTCGGACATGTGCCCTGGAAAATTGGACCAAAACCGGCTTTTATACCCCTTTTCCACGAACCAACTCGAAAAAAATAATTCAATTTAAATATCAAATAAGTTATACTTTCGAATTGGGTTGTGAGAATTATAAAATGCCATTGCAGGAGGAAAATCTGAGCTTGTTTTTCATGTTTTCGCAAAACAAATTTTGAATAAAAACTTTATTAATGTCATGCTTTTTTAAGAATACAAACTAAAAATATATATTTAAGATAAACTTTATAAATTTTAAAGGAATTTTTGTAGCAAATTTTCCTTACAATTAATATTTAGAAAAGTTTACCAAAAACGCGGTCCAGGACAACTCTGTCTTACGAAGTAAAACGTAAGGGAAAAGGCAAAACTTCATAAATTATTTAAAAGAAACAACACTTTCCAGAAAGTTGGCCCTTTGAAAGAGATAACAAATTGCATGGGGAATAAGAGGAAAACATAAAACGTTTATTAAACAAACACTCACGCATCCAGGTCTCAAAAAACATGAAACAAAAGTTAACTTTTTCCATTAAGAGACGACAAAATGTGGGCCATTCCCAATTAAAACATTTTTTCGGTCACGTGAATCAAGTTGTACAAACAATTATTTGTAATTTTTAAATTAAGGCAGCTGCAGGAATGCAAACATCAAGGTGGCAGGCACTCGACGGGAATGAGGGTACTTAAGAAACGCCAGAGTTTCGGGGCAGGAAGCAATTTTTGCTCGACAAATATTGACTTGATCCCAATAAGAAGACAGGGTCGGAGGAATAAGTTGAAAGCATTCCTCTGCGAGTGACGAGGTGCTCGGACTCGGTCTCGGTATCGGTCTCGGACTGGGAACCCAGTCAGATGTGGGTGTCGATGATGGGCGTTGGAAGATGTTCACTTGACAGTGGCCACCGCAGCGGACCATAAACAACGGAGACACAAGAAAATGGGCTGCGGTTGCGGTTCACTTTTTCTCATTCTTATTTGCAGTTATCCAGCCCCCACAGAGAACTTGGGAATTTTACGCTACCCTCAAGCACTTTGAGAAAAAATCTTATACTTATTTCAAATAATAAAAAAGGTATAATAAGGTGTATTAATAACTTCGACTTGTTATGATAAAAATCTGTTGTTGATCCAAACAGTTGGAGTTCTTTATGAGAATCAAGAAACCAAAATTGTTTATTTACATTTGAAAGCGAATAAAAAAGTCAAAAGCTGATGGATTATCTCCCCGTTTTTAAGTATTTCTCTCAGTGTAGACTGTAAAAAAGGTGTGCTCACTGCAGAAATTGTAAATTCACTTGCCACGAAATGAGGACGCCGCAAAATGTTGACAGTTCTCGGGGGGCTGGGACTGGGAATGGCGACGGGTTGGGGCCACATTTCTGAGTCAGCGGGTTGTCTGCGCTTGATGCCCTATGGGTCTGCCCTAGAGGGGGCTAGAGGGGGAATAGGAATGGGAATTGCAAATAGTTCAGTACGATTGTGATTCCTTGGTCTGCTTATGGCCAATTGCCATTCAACAATGGCTCGGTCCTCCAGCTCCCCATCTCCTGACTGGCTTGTCCATCAGTGCATTGAACTTTTCCGTCTGGACAGCGAGTCTGGTTGAGTCTTTTCCCTCGCCGGGAATTGGAAATAAAATAATGGCACAAAGCGAGCGAAATGCGTGCCGGAAACTATGGAACCCTTGTCTGCTTGCCAATGCAAGTTGTGGTTGTCTCTGTCGGATCCGGGATCCGGGACATTATATCCTATTAACCAAAAGTTTATTCCACCCAAAAAAAAACAGGAATAAAGATCTTTAATCACCGATATATCTGTAGGTACAGCTCATCAAATAAAAGTAAGCATGTGTTATAAAATTCATTTTGACAAAGTTCCCCGCAATAATAATACTCATAAAATTAAAATTAATATTCGCCAAAAACAGAGAGGAAAAAAGATAAAACAGCCGAAGGCGGAACAGTCGAAAGTGAAAGTCACTTGATTTATGCCTTCCCGGGAATCTTGGAGAGAGGTGGCCGCCGTATAAACCTAACAAAAGTGGAACACTTTTGGGAAAGTGGGCGTGGTGGCTGACAAGAGGCACGTCTGCGTCTCCTTGGCTTTTTGCACGTTTTCTTTTCGGTTTTTTTGTATACAATTTCCACAGTTGCTTTTATTGTGGGTTACCAATGAATAAAATATGAGCCATATTCTAGGGGCTGCGCCAAGTTTTTGCGGTTTTCCTTGATAAATGGAAATTTTAGGCGAGTAATTAAAATTAAATAAATAAGCGGTCGTTTGTGGTGTACTCGTATATGAAGATATTAAAGTGTGCTCTGGGAAAGAAACTTTTAATTAAATTTCAGAAACTTTAATTTCGCAATAAACTATTTCCTTACTCTTAAAGGATACTATCTTATGTCAGATAAATATTCCACTTTAAAGACTTTTTCTTTTTACAGCAACCTTTCTATGTTGTAAATTATCACGTGTATTACCTATTTCCCAGAACTCGTTGACAAAATATTTTTCCAAGAACTAGATCACAAACTATGACACTTAACCGCCCACTCAGCATGAAAATTTTGATGTCTGAAGGATGCCCTAAAAAATGGATTGCTCTGGCTGGGCCAACTTATCTTCGGCGGCCATTGGCGAGTTCCGTGTAAATTCTGTAAAAATAATTGCTTCGCTCGGCGATCTTTACAGAAATGATTATTGATGAACTTTTTGGCCTATTTTATCAAAATCAAAGCAGACGCGACAACGTCACTTCACTTTTGCCCGCCAATGAAGCGTGAAATGCGGACCGACAACCCGGGCACAGCGCCAGCACACATTAAATCTTGCGAAAGTTTAACCCGCCCTGCCAAAAACTGAAAAAAAATCAGCATAGCACACCTTTTGATGGACCAAACCACAAGTCTATAGACCATGTGCGATGAAGGGCGGGGAGGTGTAGGTGGGCAGATTTGGCAAGTGGCGAGGAGCCGATGACGTCAAACGGCGGCAGTTGGCAGTTGGCAGTCGGCAGACTTTCCTCACAGACCATTCTGGCCAACCTTTCAATCTGTTTTCATATAATTTTTAGGCACGCGTAGGTAGGAGGTGGCTTTTTCGGCTCCAGGAAATCCCCGTGAATCACCCGGGGGACGGGATTTGCTCTTGAGCCGTGCTAAGGGGATTGTGTAAACAGAAGAGTCGCCAAGGAATTCGACGGGAAAATGCCGGGAATGCCAAAATATTGATGAAAGCCAAGCCGAGGGGCTTTTAGCGTCGCGTGCCAATCGGCCAAGATCCGTTAATGTACATCAGAATATCGGAATATCTGGGCAGATATATGCTATATAGTGGGTGGTGGGCGTGTGGGGGAGTGTAATTCCATCGCTGACAGCGGTCGGCATTATCATCTAGAGGCGACAACAAAGATCTCCCGCTGAATGACCAGACACATTTATTTGTTTACACAGCTCGGTTGTTGTTGCCGTTGCCGTTGCCGTTGCCTCATCTTGACAATCAATTAATTTCCATCCCGAACACCTCCTGCGCCCCCCAGAGGAGCCCCACAGTATCGACAAAGGCAAGTGGCGTCGCTGGTGCTAATTGTTTTTAATGAAAATTGCTAAGGATTTAATAAGGAAGGCGAAAAACAAATGGATTTTAAAAGCCATTTCAATTATGGCATAAGTTTCTCATCAATCTGAGTGGTCACTACTGGTGACGTCAAAGATTGCAGCACAGCCCTATGCATTTTCTCTCTCTCTCTCTCTATACCTACTATACTAAGTATATATAGATTTTACGATCTTTGTCTGAGCCAAAGTTCACTGACTCTCTGCTCAGATTGCAGACGATGGAAATAGTTTTCCCCATTTAATGAGCTTCGGCAAATAATAGAAGCTGCCTGGCTGAATTCATTTCGCTAATGCTCTGTTTTTTTGTGCCATTTCAGCTCTGATAACTGCAGTGCATTTGCACAGACCCGAGCTAATTAAAATTTGGCAAATATGTTTCCAAGCCAACAAAGCGGCCGCAATTATAACTAAAAGCCAACTTCGGCTAACTGCTCTGCCAACGCCCACACGCAAAAGCGTGATTTCCAGCTGTCTGTCGGCGGATTGGAATTTTCGCAAAAATTTTCACAAAAAAGGAGGTTAACCAATTTGTTCGCTTGCGGCTGGCGAAAGTGACAACGACGGGGATACATGGGCGCTTTTTACAAATGAGTTTCCGTATTTCATTGAGTGCATATGCAATTGCATTCTTGCTATAAATACGTTAAACTTGTTCTTTTTTTCGGCCAGCATTTTCACTTTCTGTCGTTGGAAACTGAGTCAATGCGATGCGTGGGAGGAAGTGCAGCTGCAGTGGCAGAATTTTAATGACCCAAGAGTGCCAAAAATAAAATTCAAAACTTGTCAGCCGGCGAAATAAACGCCTCAATTGAAATAGAAATGATGGCGAAAGTGACAAACCAAATCTGCGTGGGCCGATGGCCAAATGCAAGGAGTCAATGCGCTCATTAACCAAACTATTCCTAGCCAGAAAAAACACAGCGAGCCAAAATCAATCATGGCAGCGGAAAGAGTTGACAGTCAGAACAAAACACAATCGATTCGGAAGTTCAGGGTCCTTTTCGTGGCGAAGGTGAGTTAGTGAACCCACAAAAAAACAACAAGATAAAGCCAAGCCGAAGCGACCTTGGGGGTTTGCCAAAATTGTGGCTAATATGTCAACATTCGGGCAAAAAGAAATGGCGAATAACCGATGAATAGACCATATCCAACTATTGCACAGAGAGAAACTAATACCAAGATCGATTTGGTTGTTGATTTTGGCTTTCCAAAAGATTGCCATACAAATATCTTTCACGAATTTGACATTTCAAATACCTAAAAACCCCTCGAAACCTTTTAGACTACCTTAAGAACATAGCAGTTATTTAAATTGAATCAATGGTTATCCATGAAATGAAATTTTTGTGTGCGTTTGGCCAAGACAGATGCTCAAGCTCGAACATAACTTTTATCTGACTCTTGACATTTCCCAGCAGCTCTTCAGAAGTTAGTTACTCTTCATTTTTTCATCGCCTTCATTGCCGACATTGAACAGTTCAATAAGGCGGAGTGCAGTTTTTCCTTTTAGTTCCCGCTCGAGTAAATGCAATTTCCCAATGGGTCTTAAAGCCTAAGCCATTTTTAGCTGCTTACAGCTGGTGGGAACTATAAAAAAGAGCAGAAGCAATAAATTGCCCAGAAACGCTTCTGTGTGTTCAAGTCTATTTCTCAATTCAATTAAGTTGGCCGCCGGCCTGACTTTTATGCCGGCAAACTTCGTTTTCCGGGGCACTAAAAGCCCCTCGCCGGATGCAGTGGAAACTCATTCGGCACTGTCCTACGTAAATGCGTTATTTTGAATTCAATCAACTTTTTGCCGTCTAAAAGTATGCAACACTAATCGGATATTCAACGAACTTTCACAGCAGCTCCAGAAATCCAAGGCTTTCACATTTCCTCTGTTAGCCTAAGGAAGTAAATGCCAGCACTCGATACTAACTATCGTATATGTAACCTTTTACCTATCACCTATAAGATATCGAAACCCCAGTAGTCGAACTCCTGTCAGAATCGATGGAAAATTAAAATCGGCAAATGGGACGAGTCATTCTTTCGAAAATTGTCGCAGCGAACAGAGCTCTTGAAAAGTAATAAAAAATAAAAATTAAATTCCTCTCATTGAGTCGTTGTGTTCCGTGTCGAGCAAAGTACTTGATTTTCGCAACCAGCACGCGCGTGTGCCGTTCTCATTTAGATTCACATACCAAAGTCCAGGCCTAGGTCAATCAAAGAACACCATCAACACCACCCATCAAACACCCGTGAAAAGTTCAGTTTAAAGTGATAGAAAAACATGCTTAAGAACATGGTTACTGATTCGAAGGACGCCGTTTTGGCCAAGACCAGCAGCACCAAGGAGGTGCAGTGCCAGGACTCCGGCTGCGATGAGCCCCAAATGGAGGCAACCCTACTGCCCCCGACCCCACTGGTCACACCAAAGAGCGGCCGCGTGGGCATCTTTAACGCCGAGGACTTCCTGTCCCGTGCCCAGATGAACGACAAGATCAACAACATTCTTCGCTCGCCAACCAAGGCCCACAACGGGGTGCGCCAGCGCTCTGTCTTCACCAACAATAGTCCATCGCCGGTGAGTAGAGTTGCTTTTTTCTCAAACGCGAATATTTTCAGTAGAGTTGCGTTTTGGCTTTCATTTCACATTTTCACAGCAGGGTTGTCTTCACTTTTTCGCCGTCCATCTTTCACTTTTGACACATGCAGAAAAGTTATAGGGTTATCCATGGCAGGGTTGCAATCCTTTTAGGATTGTAGAAGAAGTAGAAGTAGAAGTAGAAATAAATCCATTTTCTGACGCAAGCAGAAAAGTTTCAGGATTGTCCATGGTTATATTAGTCGAAGGATTGCAAGAACTAAAAAGAAAGACATTAAGACATAAGAGATTTCCCTCTTCCCTGCGCATATTCACTCCGGGGCTGTCTTCTTTTTTGTTTACCCAAAAATTGTGTTTTCTCCTGTCACTTCTTTCAGGGTTATAAATCATAAGAAATCTTAAAGGGACTAATTGAAAAGCATTTAAGAATATGCAAGATGTTTCATGCCACTTCTGAATGGAACATTTTCCAATAAAATAATTTCTTAAGTGGGACTTAGAATTCTAGAACAGCAGAACTTCTACTTATCTAAAAGAATGTTATTTGCTCAAACTGGCAATAAGCTAAAGACTAATCCTGACTTCCCTGTCCTTCCCAATCCTTAGCAAGCCACCATGCGGCTCGTGCCAACGGTGGGTTCTTCGTTGGGCCCTCGTTTGAGCAGCATGTCGCTGAGTGCCGGGAGTGTGAGCGGCGTGAAGCGCGGAATGGAACGCGTTCTGGAGCGCGGCCTAGAGCGTGGCAGCAGCAGCAGCAGCCTAGGAGCCAGTGCCAGCGTGGGCACCAATACCGCTATCCTGGCCAAGGAGAGCTCCAGCCAGACGAGCAGCAGTGCTCGTCCCTTCATGCACATGGGCGTGCATGCCGCCCCGCACTCTGGTTTTGGTGCTATGCCACAGGTCACCGCTGGCTTCGAGGCCATGGGTTTGGAGATGGATGCCGGAAACATCACGCGCAGCGGCAAGAGCCTGACAAGTCGCTACAACTATGGCTATGATACTGAAGGAGCCTACTGCATGGTAAGTATTCCATATCTCTATCTATCTGATCTATGTGGCGGATCTGAATGGAATTCTGAATCCCCAGCCCCAGGCACATCACACCCAGCAGTTTCCTTCGCCAATGCCGCCACCACCTTATGCCCTGGGACGAGTCAGCTCGCGCACCTTCGATTTCGATAACAACGCACCACCACCGTGTCCCGGATCCGGACCTATTGCCATGACCAACGGCACCATCCAGTTGCGTCTGCGCGAGGGCGTTCGGTGAGTGGTTTCTACTAGAGGGTGAAAGGTGACCCTTAATGACTTCATTTTCAGAATTGATATGACCTTGGACAAGGCTGTGCGCGTGCTCAACCAGCGCAGCATGGTGGCTGTTGCCCTGTCGCGCAACTGCAGCAACTCTGCACTCATCCATCCCAATGGACGCATCTTGCAGAGCGGCTCCAAAGTGGAAATCGTCACCTATGACGGAATGAAGGCCAACAACTTTGTGTAAGTCTAGTAAAATGTTTTTCAGCTGAGAAAGCGAAAGGAAAACATATAAGCACCGAATGATATATCATCTTCCCCTCTTTCAGTCGCTATGCCAAAATGTGGTACAAGGGCGTCAGTTTCACCAGCGAGTCCTGTGCCCTCATCTATCTGGTGGACACAGCTGGTACGCGCACCACCACCGACAGCTTCACCGACCTGACCAAGGACTACACACTGGCTGTGTTCTACGAGTGAGTTTTGCGCACAAGGATTCCCAAAATCAAAGTACCAAGCTCCTCTTTCTAATTAACACCATGCAGTGACTCGCGCCACGGCCCATCCTTCATGTCGGATGCCCACGACGTAATCGCCAACTCCACCTACAACTGTGCCGAGGACGGTACCGAGGTGTACGACATCAATGGATTCCGCATCACACAGGCGGCCGACGGCCTGGTGAAGGTCACTCGCCAGCACAACAAGTGCCTGATTCGCACCAGTCCTGGCAACGGATCCGCCACCCTAACCACACCCGGCATCCATTGCACGGCTTCCCTGGGAAAGACCTCGCACCTGTTCGTTCGGTGAGTATGACTGCTCTCAATTTTAGTGGCAATAATAATGCACTCGGAAAAAAGGGGGCTTACTTTTCTTTAACTATTTTCTATAATCAATATTTCAAATGTTATGATGAAGCATTGCCTCTCTATCTGTAAGGTCATGAAAAATGTATGTAAGATGTAAGATCTATGTGATAGCCTGTATAACCTTTATATCTTCTTAAGCTTTCATATAAATGTCTTTTTTTGGGTAATATTTATTGACAAAATTAATACATTCAGTTTTTAAAAGATAATATTTAAACAGATAAGCTTGTTCAGGGCTTCCTTGATACCTACATGATTAGTCAACCTTTCCAGATCTTATACGAGTAGTTCTCATCCTTCTTACAGAAAAAGGGCAGATAGAAAGACTTAGCTATTTCTAAACTTGGCCAAGTTTAATTACTCTTCTTAATAATTAATAACAAAATCTTCCACCCTTTTCTTTCAGTCGCAACGAGAAGCGCATGCACTTCGACGGATCCTGTTTCATTGTACGCAACGCCGGCCACTCGGCCGGATTCAATGAAAACAACCTGCTGATTGTCTACTAGTACCGCTCGCTACATGGGATGTGCCCGGTGTTGGGTGTGGCATCCACATACCACCTACCAGCCATCAGGTGCCACCACCCACCCGAGCAATCGAATTCACCCCATTACCACCACACACAGACATCAGACAAAAGACACACACAGACACCGACTCAAGCGTCGACTTCAATACCAACAGCCAGCCCCAAAAATATCGAAAAACCGTGGGGCCTCGGCGTGGAGAGGGATCAGATCATCTGAGAAGACCGAATCTATGGTTAAAAGGCTAAAAAAAAAAAAAAAAAAAAAAAAGGGATGTTAATCTAAAACTGTACTTAGAAAAAAAGACAGCTCAAAAAAGGGCGCGAGCAACGAGCGGCATATCCTAGGCCGATTGCTCGACGTAGGCGAAACGCAACCACCAAGGAATTAGTTTTAAGATCCCGTCCAACTCTCTATATCCCTCGATAACTCTACTTTTATACCCAAACCCATAGTGGTTTTTCATACAGGCAATCCGGGTAGGAATCCTCCTGCCTGAAACGCTGGCCAAGACAATGGGATTTCGATCAAGGTCAGCGTTTGGTGTTCAAAGAAAAAAAAAAAAGTATGTCTTCGTTTCGCGTTCAAACTCTTCTTTCGGCCTCGCCATGTACTTCCAAATTACTTCTTAACGCACTTCCAAACGTTTTAACTTGAATGCAACATTTTGAGTGAAAGTCCAACTAGGAGAGAAATTAAAAGTTGCAAAAAAAATAATTCAAATTTCATATATCAAAATTAGAAGCACCGCGGTTGACCTGCGGACGAGTTCTTTGGCGTTACGTGCGGCTTACGTAACGCCAGTGACGATTCTAAGTTAGTTCTAAGTTACCAGTTACGATTAGTTAACCTAGTTGCTGCAATCCAAGCATGTTCATCCTCACCCACACACCTAACACACGCTAACAAATGAGTAGATTTCAGTGAACTAAAATTTCCTAGTGTAGGTAGGTAGTTTAAACTTACGCCCACAACCACACCCACCCACTCACTCACACACACATTCATTTAAGGACATCGGCAAAGTGAGGAATTGCGACTGAAATGGAATACGATTTTTAATTAGCTTACGAAACACCGTCTCGAAAAGACAGTCGTCTTTGAAAGCCAAGTTAGTAAACACACACACACACACTGGCACACTACGACTAACCCACATGAAAAGAACCCTCGGAAAAAGTGTTACGAGGGAAGAAAAGTTTGACACCAAGTATAGAAAAAACGTGAAAAGCCTTACAACAATCTCCAAAACCCTAAATTTAATACCATGTAAAACGAAATTTATGTGTAAGAAAATCGATTTAAAAAAGTCGCAAATGAAAATCAAAAATAAATTAAAGTAAAATAAATGACTTCTCTTTTAGTGTCTGGCTTAATTCTAGGATGGGGGGGGGTCATGGTAATGTCAAAAGCCTCATGCAAACCGTATATCACCTCATACCTTACGCCAGCCGACTCCTGCGGTATCGTAAATGTACAAGAAAATTGTTTTATGGCTACAATTCATGTCACACCCCTCGGGGAGGAGTTGGAGTTGCACCACAAGGGCCATCTGGAGAGAACATACTTTAACACTGAGAAGGAGGAAAACCCAGAGATTTTCCAAAGCCTGGTAAATATTATCATACAAACAGCCTTGATTTCTCGTGGAATCTTTAAATTTAATTACATTTCAGGCATAATATTAGCATTGAGAAAGCTCATAACATTTCAGGGCAGAGTTCGTTTAATTTTTAAAGAAAATATTTATTTAAGTTGTTTTGATGTCTTAAAGGTTTACCTGCAAACAAATCCAAAAGCACAACGATATGGGATCGGCAGTCATGCAGACTAAACTCTCCAAAAGACTTAACCTGGAGTTGGAGGAGCGGCTCGGCAATGGCTGTTGATAGAGATTATTGGATAATGCTTGGCGGAACTATATGCCACGTCTGTCTCTGTCATAAGAAGAAAGGTGTTCCATGGTTAGAGAGAGAGAGAGAGAGTGGGTACACAGAGAGCAAGGCTGGGCGGGCGAGCAATGAGCAGTAATGGATGTGAGGCTTAAGCGAGCTGGTGAGGATGAGCAGGTGCGGAAGCCACGGCAAGAATACACAAGCGGCAAGTGCTAGTGTGCGTGTGTCTCTCCAGCTCAGGCTGACACACATATTTACACATCAAAATACATCTACAAATTCCTTTATTTTAGTGCGAGTGCTGCGAATCAAATATACCCCAAACCCCAGAACCCAAGCCCCGAACCCTGACCTCTTACGGATGGGAGGCTAACAAAGGAGCGACCCCCCTCACATATGGCATATTCAATGCTCACGCTTGCGTGACTCGGAGGACAGGGCGGACCCGGGTGGATCCGGAGGTTCCCTGCTGCCATTTGCCTCTCGCACCCGTGCTCGACATCAAACGCTTTTCACACTTAATTGGGCGTAAAATTAAATCAGAATTGATTAAAACACTTGAATGACAGCAGCAGTCGAAGCCAGTCCCAGCCCTAGTCCCAGTTTCTACTTCCAGGACCCAGCCAAAAAGTCTAAGCATAAACAAACTTTTCGGTTTTCATTTTTCCAGCTGACGCATAGCACGTAGCTTCTTCTGGACGAGTTTTCCACCATCACCACCCACTGGCCACGTCCTCATCCTGTTTAAAAAGGACTAATTGCTGCCTAGAAACTCAACTCCAGCTCCTCCCTCCTCCTACCCACTGTTTTGCCTTTAGAAAGTTTATCAAATTCAATTTCCTGGCAAAAAAAAAAAACCAGGACCAGCTCCAAAGGCAGGGCATCAATTTTTCTGCATTACCGTTTAATGGGCCGTCAATTATGCGAGTCTCGGTCCGCCGGTTATACGTACACATTTATACATATTCAATAAGCCTTAATTCACAGCCATAAATCGTCGAACGTTTTCGATTCACCTGGCTTGGGCTTCTGCTTTTGCTTCTGCTTCTTCTGTGCTGTTCTGTTCTGTTCTGTTCTGTTCTGTCCTGGCCATGCAGCAAATCAATTCGATTTCCGGCCAAAAAGGGAGTGCCATCGTATTGCAACTTCCCCCTGATGATAATTGCATTTTAACCGATTTACCCAGGAAAATCCCGGAGAGACACAGCGTATATCTGCATGGAAATTCAGTTTCGTTTAAGTTAATGGGAAATGAATGGCACTGGGGGAAATGAAAAATTATGAATATTTACCCCTGGGGCTAAGTGGCTTAAGTTGAACCAGAAAGATTACCACAAAATACACACAGATATATATATATATATATATAGACTCCATCTGTCATGCTCTTCGCCAGGACGACTTGAAACGTTGGCTGACAAAGTGGCTCATCCGAATATGTTCGGCTATGTAAGCCGGGCTGTCAACCCACCGAGGTGACGGCAATCAAATCAATCAGACCAGCCACCTGAGCTGGGAACGGGCTTCAAAGTGAGTCTTCAAGCTGAATGGTTGGAGGGGTTAAGGGGTTATCTTAAGCCCAAAACCCATCGTGACATCGGATCTTTATGGGCGAAAAGTGTGCAGGCGGCAAGAACGATTGCGGATGACAAGTTGCAAGCATATTTATGCTCCCTCAATGCCAACTTGTCAGGGCTGATTGCTGGTTGCGATATCATGCCCCAATTCATAAATTATATGCAAATAAAGTAAAACTTTCTAAGGCCTGTGGAACATCAGAGGTAATTAAACTAATTGAAAGATAGAACTAACTTAAAGTGGACCTTGCACTTGCCTGAAGTTCATCCTTTTAGCCACTCAATACTCATTATGTTTAAGGGGTTACCCCTGTTTGCAGTTCAGTAAAAACAAATTAAAAGTGTGCAAATGTTTTGCAACTCCTTAACGGCCATAACAATTGAAATGTAACAACAGAGGAGCGTCAACATTATTATAATTGCGTTTAATTAAGCCGCCGAGTAAATCCTCTCTCAACACTCTAATTTGAATTGGCAGGCCAAAAAAAAACAACAGCAGAAGGCCCAGTTAAGAGGACCAAGTATTTTTGCCCTAATCCTCTTGGCCGGCCCGAAAAGAGCTTTATAAATTGGCAAAGGGATGCCTTCCTCTGTCTCTTGGCTGCCTCCAATAACGAAAGTTTCGGCCTGATGAACAGGAGGAGGCCTAGTAAATTGTCCGATATTTGCAGACATAACAGACCTCAGACAATTGCAAGCTAGGAGAGAGCTGTGTTGGCCAAAAGTGCTCTGTTTTTGGCCATGGAAAGCTATTTGTTTGCCAAGCCCGGCAGATGTCACCCACAATCTGTGGCCCCATCAGCAGCTAACCCAGTGTCTCTGGGCCAGGTTTTGCAAAATAATATGGTGGCCGTATTTGGCAAGGCTATCCTAATTAACTGGCTGCCTTCGCCGGAATTCCAATGCATGGATTCTGATTTTGATTCTGGTTCTGAAATCCCTTTAAATGCAGGCCCCAAAAATCTCATTAAAATTCATCAGCATATTGTCTCGTTGTCAGCCAGCTTGTCGAGAGTCTCCTCCAATTTTCATGCTGGTTTTGGCTCTGCCGTAGATTCCCATTTTCAGTTCCATCTCGCAGCTATTTTCAACGAACGCTCTTCAGTTGACGATTTAATTAAGTCTAATGGTAAAATGTTGTTACGCAATTAAGGCGGTGTCGTTGTTTTCGGAAATGCCCTTTTTATTGGGACCCACTCACGTGCTGACCCTGTTCGGCCCTCGGTGCTCAGTAAACCAATTGCGGCCCACATAATGTAAAGTGAATGCAAATCGAATTACCAATAACGGGGACTGCCTCGAACGTTTCTGAGAACTGTTAACACCTGCTCGGAAATTGTAGTTGATAGCTGGGCCTACGGCCAGATCCTTTTCCTACAGCTTCAATGATAATAGACTTTCAAATTGTTGGTGAAGTAACTTGAGGGGAAAATTGGGTAAGCAAACTGCTGTACTTCTTAAAAGGGTTTACTTATGTTCATAACTATGGAAGTTATACTAAAATATTATAATATACATACTATATATATGTAGTAAAACCTTGTGGAATGCCCCTCTTAAGTTGGTTAAGCAGTAAATGCTTGCAAAAATAAAAACAAAATAAACTTACACTTTTTATAGTTTAACGGCCTAACTTTCTGTCAATTCCTCAGTATTACATCCAAAAGTCAAAAATATTATATATTATCTTCTCAAAAAAGTCTTGCGGTATAAAATTGGTTACAATAATGTGATTCAAGTCAAAAATGCGCCGTTTTTTTCGATGATGCGTTCCCAACGAGATGCCAACTTTATAATGCCCCTCTCATAGAAGCTCGCTTCCCTTTTGGCAAAAAAACTCGGAGCGTGGCGCATCTTCGACCACCTCTACACCAGAACGAAAACGTTGATACCATCGTTGTGCGGTGGAAATGGAAACTGTATAGGGTCCATAAACTGCACAAATTTTATTGGCGGCTTGAGATGCATTTTTGCCTTTATCGTAATAGTACTGTAAAATATGCCGTATTTTCTCTTTATTTTTCTCCATGATTGCGACGCTACAACTCACGAACGACTTTAAACAAAAGACAATCAATCAAACACGTATTAGCGCGTGAAATGAGCTTTACAAAAAGGTATAGTATGACCTGATGCGACAAATAAAACAAGAACTACGTGCTACGTGACAACCTAATATAATATTAGCTTCTCCTTTAGTGTAATTTATCTTATATTATTATTATCTGTTTTTAACTTTTAAATATTTTTAAATTGATATAATTCAAAGGATTGTCTTAAACTTGCAACCCCTCTTCTTGGTAGTGAGAAGTGTACAGCCAGTTCGAGGTCAACTGCCGACTTGTATTTAAAGAAAATCTAAGACGTGACTTAATACAGATACACAAAGGAAACCAACAACTAGTTTGTGTTTAATTTTAAATTAATATATATCTATCTATGCACACCTATCCTATTCTCTGTTAATTAGAAAAGCCTACAAAGTTAAAAGACAAATTACCCAAAAAAGATGTAAGTTTCATTTTCCGCTCCAGTTAGAATGGCCACTTAAGAAAATTAGACTTAGCAATGATACTTCTTCTTTGGCACTCTTCTTTCCTGTCATTTAAGGATTTATTTTACAAAAAATATATCTGGTTTTAACTTTACTAATCCACATTTTCACCAAGTTCTTTGTTAAAAACATAACTTAAACTTCCAAGAAGTTACCCTTAAAAGTATCAAAAATCTATTTCTTAACCAGAGTGACAAACAGCAACCTGAAACCAAACATTAACCTGCACTTTATCGCTATTCAGTTTAGTTAACTTCAAACTGGCAAAGACTTTTTTCAGACAGCTTTTTAAGAATGCAATTGCAGCAATTTGTTGAAGCTTGCGG